GGAAGAATGCCCGGAAGTCCGCCAGTGCCTCCTGGGTTCCAGGGTCTGGTTCCTACTCCAGGGGATTCCAGTGAGCAGGTGCTGTGGTTCTGGCCTGGACCGGGGAAAGGACCTCTCCTGACAGCCAAGTCCCCAGGAGAGTAGAGGAAGTGGGCGGGAGTCACTGCAGCCGGCTCGCCCTGTGCTGGGGTCACGCCCTGATGTCCCTAAGGCTGGGGTGCAGCCTGGGCAGCTCTGTGCCGTCTCTGTCCTCGGCAACCCCATCCCCCACCCTACAGACACTGTTTATTTGCTGGAGTTTGGGCAGGGGGTGGCTTCCAGGATTCCAGACAATGCTGTCAGGGGCCTTGAGGAGATAAGAGGGGGAAGGAGGAAAGAGGGGAGGTGAACTCAGATAATCAGGAAGAAGGAAGCACCAAGCCGTGGGAGGAGAGTGCCAAGGCCTGCACCGGCCAGGCCCTCTAGACTGCTGGGTAGCCTCTGGCTCCCAGCCCAGCATGCACGGGAGGGAGCCAGGTGCCCGTCCTGCACAGGTGCCAGGCCACGGGAGCCCAGCACTGCCCACTGCAGGGTGAGCTCTGAGCAGTCCCCAGGCTTGCTGCCCTGGGGGATCCAAGAGACGTCTGCCAAGCCTCAGTGGCCTCTCCTGCCCGCCAGACACCCCCGCACGGGTGACCTCGGGCTGGGTGAGGAGGACGGGCTATCCAGGGCTTACCCCTAGAAGAAAGGTTTTAGCCGCCGGCGGCCACAGACCCAGAAAGCTCTTTGGCCCACCTTCTCTTTCGTCTTAAAAATGTCCAGGCTGTGTAGTTTCCTTCCAAAGAAAGCGCTGGTTTTCTTCCAAGCTGCAGGCAGAGTCAAGTGCAGATGCCACGTTCTCCCCGGGCCCTGGAGTCCCGCGGCTGCCTGGGGTCCCGACGCTGGCGCCCCCTCCCCATCCGCCTGCCAGGCGTCACCTAAGCCGCCGTTGCCATGGGCCCGCGGCAGATGGCCCGGTTTAGGGTTCCCCGGCGGGCGCCGCGCGCACGGATTAGGTGAATTAAGGAGCCGGAGCCTTGAGCCTCCGCCGGACCCTCAGCGCCATGGAGTCCCCCGCCGGGCCTGCAGACCCCGACCCCGCCGAGGAGCGCGCTCCGCAGTCCGGCAAATGGGCGCTCGTACGCAGTCTGAACCAGGCTTTCAAGACCTTTGCGGTCCTGCCGGTGAGGCCCGGGCCCGAATGGGGGAGGGTACGCTCGGGGCCTGCCCCGGGGGCCTCAGTTTCCTTGCCTATCAGGAGTCGCACAGGAGGGTCCGCGCAAAAGAGGTCCCAAGATACTGAGACCTCGGCTTTGGCCACCCTCCGCAGGCGTAGGCGGGAGGGTCTGGTGCTGGGATCCCCAGCAGGGAGCGCCTACAGGTGCGCAGGCAGGCCTGAGAGGCCAGGGCTCCTGTACACGGCTCCCCACGCATAGGCCTGTCTGGTGGACACTTGGCTTACACTTCCCACCTGGGAAAATAAAAACCAGTGTCCCGTGGTGCAATGGAGAGAAATGAGGGCGCCATCCAGAGACAGGCTCCTTCTCATTGCACAGACGGGCACTGGGTCCCAGAGGAGGGAAGATGCAGGCAGGGCCAGGCTGGTGCTGGGAGATGGAGACAGGCAGCAAGGACAGCTGGCATTTGCAAGGGACTATTGGCTGTACACGCACTCCTTTCCTGTTAAGTCTGGTGAAAACTGCTACCCAGAGAGGCTGAATAATTCACCTAAAGTCACACAGCGTTAGTGACAGCCCTGGGACAAGAACCCAGACCTCTTTAGTTTTTAGTGGTTCTTTTTTCCTTAAGGTTTATTTTATTATATTTTGAAAGGTAGAGTTACAGAGGGAGAGACAGAGAGATTTGTTTGCTGGTCACTCCACAAATGGCTGCGATGGCCTAGGCTGGACCAGGTCGGAGCCAGGAGCTTCTTCTGGGTCTCACACGTGGGTGGCAGTGGCCCAAGCACTTTGGCCATCTGCTGCTGCTTTCTCAGGTGCATTAGCAGGAGCTGGACTGGAAGTGGAACAGCTGGGACTTGAACCAGGACTCATATACGATGTCGGTGTTGCAGGCCGTGGCTTAGCCTGCTGTGCCACAGCGCTGGCCCCAAGAACACGGCTCTCTTGATGTGTGTTTACTGTGGCTGCGTGCTGGCTCTCCTGGGGTTCGGGGGATGCTGCGAGAACACTGAGACAGCCCCTGCTGGGAAGTCAGCACTGTGGGGGCAGGGAGACCATCTGCTCCTGCCACACGGGCTGTGTCACAAGAGCCGTCTCTGACGCGGGCAGGGCATCCCTCATAGTATGTGATGCTGTTACTGAGTTGTTGCTTTTCTGGCCATGGTGCTCAAACTGGGGCCCGGCGCAGTCATGGTGGGCTGGGGACTGTCTTGGGGAGGCGAGGAGCTGGTGGGATTAGAGCTGGCGCCCAGTCTCCTCCCCTCACCTCCCTCCTCCTGCCCCCCAAAGCAGCTGAGGCGTTGACGCCTTCCTCCCCCTCTTTGTCTCCTCACCCTCCCCAGCGGCTCTCGAACCACCCACTTTGGGTCCTGGCTTCCTCCTGCACAGCCCCCTGGGTCACTGCTGGACCAGTGACCACGGCCAAACTCCCTTCCGGCTTTGGGCCTCGTTTCCTGGCTGCAGTCTGTTGCTCCAAGGACGTGCCCTGGGCCACAGGAGCCCTCCCCTCAGGGCTTCCGGGGCCCCAGGATTCCCCGTGGAGCTCTTAGCTGCCCTGGGAAACTGTCCGCAAGCTCCCACCTAGAGCAGAGCCAGTTAAGCTGCGCCCTCCAGATGACGGCCCTAGCTTAGAAGCCACTGCCACTTGCTGTGTGGCCCCAGGTTCCTCACTTGGCATCTCTGAGCCTCTGCACCTGCTCACGGGAGGTTTCAGTAGGATTGGGGTTATTCTCTGTTCTTCCAGGGACAGCTTGCCTTTTGGGCCCAGGGGCCACCTACACCCAGGGACCCTAGCAGTGCTTCCCGTGCTGACCAGGATCCGGGGTGGGTTTCAGCCCCAGCTCTGTCAAAGGCCCTGGCTTCTGGAGCACACGTGTGCTTGTGTGTGTGTGTGTGTGTGTCGCACACAGCTCCACAGCCTCCGCACACTCACGCCCTCTCACACACACTGCACCCTTCGCCCTTCCTCTCATGGACGCGGCTGTGCCGGGCGCTGAGGACTCGCAAGTGAGAGACTCCAACCCCAGCAGATGCAGCGCGGGGCGGGGCTGGCCGTGGGGCCCCGTGGGACAGCTCCAGGCTCCGTCCAGCAGCCAGAGCGCAAAGGTCCATCTGTCAGGCCACCTCCTCGGCTTCCTGCCTCACGTGACGGCAAATCCAGCTCCTGCCTGTGGCTCACAAGGCCCGGCTCGCCTTGCTGCGGCCCTGCCCTCCCTGGGCGCTGTGCACCTCTGCTCCGTTCCGCCCCGGAGTCAGAGGGGCCTGGCAGCAGCGGGCGCTCTGCACACTTGACTTTAGGAAGGAATAAACTGGGAAGGGGACGGCCAAGGCGAGGATGTTTGCTCTGGGTCTGTGCAGGGGCGGGTGTCCCTGGAGGGAAGGCGGAGAGGAGCAGGTGGGCCCAGCAGCCCGTGGAGCCCCACGGCCACGGCGGATGTTCAGGAAGCCCCAGGTCTCCTCTCCAGCTCGCTCTTTCCGGGGAGGAAGCTCGGGCAGGGCCCAGCCTGTGTCTCCCTTCCCACCTCTACAAAGTGAGGGCCCGGAGAGGCTGCTGGGGGCAGCCGGCGGCTGAGACAGCGCAGGTTGGCCTGTGACTCACTGAGTCCAACCTCCCTGTGGCGGAGCGAGGTCAGCGGCTCAGCCAAGTCCGAACAGGGCCTGGGGCCTGGGCGCTTCCCCCCGGGTGCGCTCCATTGTGAATTCTTTTTATCAGCAGTTTCGTTTCTCATTGTTCTTTGATATTAAGTTATATTTTTTGTTAGAAAGTCTGTGTTCTCCCACGCTCCAGGGAGGTTTAGGAACCAGCCCCAGAGGAAGACTTTTCTAAGATTAGAAGAATATTCAACCCTTTACCCTGAGGCCAACAAGGCCTCTGTGTTCTGGACCAGGCCCCTCTCTCTGACCTCCCTCTCCAGGTCCTTTGCCCTTGACATTCTTGCTGGCCAGTTACTCCCCCCTGCCCTCTGCAGGACTGCCACTTGCCCTTCCAGTCTCCGCTCAGAAATGTCCTCCGCAGAGTGGCTCATCTGACCGCCGAGCCTCAGGTCGGCCGGCTCTGTCTTGGCGCACTGTTCTCCCGGCGCTCACCTGGCTCTGTTTGTTGTCTACTTTCTCAATAAGAACGTGGAGTCCATCATCTCCGCTCGACTCCCCACATAGCGATTCACCGTCAGCAGGTGCCCAGGACATGTTGGTAGGGCATCATGGCGCTGAACGTGCTTGTCCTAGGTCCGTCACTTTGACTCTTGAGTTTAGGTTCAAGTCCTGTTAGTCCTGGTGTGTAATAAGAGCCGGATGCTGCAGGGGACACACAAGCGGCACCCTGCCCATCAAGGTTGGGAGCGCCCCCACGAGCCAGGAGGCAGTATGGCTGAGCTCACCCTGGGCCCAGCACAGAACATGTCACTGGCTTTGATGGTGACCCTGGGTGTCCTCTGGCCCCGCCTCCTCGAGGCCAGCAAAGATGGAGTTTGGGTGGTTCAGTGCTTCTGCCTCAACTCCAGGGAGTCTGTCATATACATGCAGGGTGCAGAGCCCTGGGGAGAGCCTCGGCTTGCACGGGCCTGGGCCCGAGGCTGCCCTGTTCTGTGAGCTCTGCTTCCCCGGCTGTAACACGGGAGAACACGGGCTACCGCCGCAGAGGCAGTAGTGAGCCGCATGAGCACGCAGCCCGGGGCCTGGCAGCAGATGGGAGTTTGGCACCAGGCCTCTGGTGGGGGCAGAGGTGGGTCTATGGCTGCCCAAAAGGGATCCTCACGCCCCTGGCTGCTCACCTGGCCTGGGACTCTCTCTCGCCCACAGGGGGACTACGTGTGGATGGACCTGAGGTCCGGGCAGGAGTTCGACGTGCCCATCGGGGCGGTGGTGAAGCTCTGTGACTCTGGGCAGATCCAGGTGGTGGACGATGAAGGCAACGTGAGTCGGCCCCTCCGTCACCCAGCCCGGGGGGACCACGGGCTGCCAGCGGCCCCGGCCGGGCGCCAGGCAGCATCCTGCCCTCAGAGGATGGAGGCACTGCCTGAGCCCCCTGCTGCCCCTCATGGAGCTCTGGTGCCCACCGAGAGAACCCCCCCTCTTCCATGGAGCTCTGGCGCCCCGCCAAGAGCGTGCCTCCTCAGGCCGGGCTGCGTGTTCTGTTTCCTCCTGCACGTCACTGCACTGGGTATTCCAGTCGTGTGTGCTCGGGGTGACATCAGGCTGGGCGCGTCTCACGCACAAGGGTGCTGTGTGGTCAGACAGACTGCATCCCGGTCCCGCCTTGCCCACTTATGGGCCCTGCAGCCCTGGCCAGGTCTCTGACCCTTCTGAGCCTCAGTTTCCAACTCTGTGAAAGGGGGGCATGAGTAGCTGTGCTACAGTTGCTGCAATCACACATGCGGAGCACCTTGTCAAGTTAGCGGCGGTCCGTAAGCTTAAGTTAGTCATGCTCTGATAGGCTACGGCCTCATGCGTGTTCATTGTCCCCCATGATGTGGCTCTAGGAGTTGGTCCTAACCCTCTCTCTTGGCCCAGAAGGCAAAGCAGTTCAGGTCTGGCAGGCAGTCATGGGGAGGACTTGAGTAGGGAAGGAAGGTCTGAGAGTGAGGCCTGCCCCAGGGCCTCTGGGCACAGGTGCACCTGTAAGGTGTGTGCGTGTGTAGTGTGGTGGACATGTGGATGCGATGCTGAGCAGACGGTTGCAGCCTAGGGGGCACAAGAACGTGCCAGCAAGATTTCAGTTCCAGCTTAATTTGGGCTGCACCAGTGCTATGTCAGGCGCCGGGGACATAGGGATAACATGGAGTCCCTGTTTTTGCCTCCTGGTCTGAAGGAAGAGGATCAGGAAAAAGAGTGGACTGCAAGTTGGAAACAGGCTGTGCTGGGCATCAGGGGAGGGCTCAGGACCCTCAAGGCCTGGGTGTGGATGTGGAGTGGGCAGGTGCACCACACGTAGCCCTGTGGCCCTCGGGGTTTGCAAAGCTCTTTCATCCAAGTTCTGTCTTTGGATGTCCACGGCGTGTCTGAAAGGCGGGGAGAGTTGTAACTGTTACCTCATGGGGAAACTGAGGCACAATGAGGGACCATGTGGCTAGCTCACAGCTGTAAGTGGAGGTGCTGGGTCCCGAAGCCGGGACCTCTGGGCCCTCTGCCCGAGTTTTCCCTGTACACCTCAATGGTGGCTGTGGGTCTCGAGGTCTGTGCGGCAGGCTTTTGTCCCCTGGGCTTCAGAACAGAGCGCCTAAGACTTTGTCACCTGGGCTCCAGGGCAGGGCCCTCCAGGAAGCCGCTGTGAGGTTGAGGTTGCAAACACAGATGGGGTGGCGCACAGACCCACGAGCTGGCCTGGGCCCTCCCCACCTTCCTGGAGGGGACCAGGGACTCTCTGCAGGCTTCAGTTTCTCCTGGGTCATGTTGCAGTCAGATGGCATCCTGTAACTCCGTGTCACTGGATCCTGAAGGAGCCCTCCCGTGTCGCCCCCATCCAAGGCCCTGAGGGTGGGGGCTGCCCGAGGGCTGGAGCGTGGCTGCTGGGGGCTCAGGTGAGGGAGGCTGGGGTCTGACTTTGGTGGTGTTGGCTCCGGGCTTCTGGCCCTTCCTCCACAGGCTATTCCTGCCCCCTCCACTCCGAGCCATCCCCCTCTGCCCCTCCATCCTCCCTCAGATGCCTAGCAACCTGCGAGCAGCACCAGGCCAGTCACTTGGGGTTCCCGAGTCAACAGTAGGTGTGGCAGTGGGAGTTCTTGGAAAAGCTTCCTCTGTGAGTCAGTGAATGAATGAATGGATGAATGAATGAATGAAAGGTTATGACTCAGGCCTCAGAGGACTCCTCGAGCTCTGACTGTCCAAGCCACGCCCATGGCCATCCATACCCTTGACAGAGCACAGTGTCTCTGTCTCTCCAAGCTCAGCCACAGGTCAGATCTTTACCAAACACTTCCAGGCCCTGGGATTGGCCATTAGCCAAGGTGACCCCAGGCTCTGGCTGTCCCTCTCCCCGTCATTCCTTTAGCTGTATGCATCACCTACTTCCCTGGTTCCCCCTTGGCCTGTGCCGCAGGTGCTGGGCACCTTAACCTGAGGGTGCTGACCTCAGCCAGGAGCCATCGCAGGCAGAGGCTCGGCCTCTTCCCTCCTGCGTGTGACTGGCCCCTGGAAATGGGTCAGGAATTCTCTATTGGGGGTACCATGAGGAGCAGATGAGGTCATCTATCTTCTTTTTATAAAAAGTCATTTATTTATTTATTTTTTAACAGAGTTAGACAGTGAGAGAGAGAGACAGAGAAAGGTCTTCTTTCCATTGGCAGCAGGCAGAGTGATGGGGGGTAGAGAGAATGAGAGGGAGAGTGAAAGATCAATCTTCTATCTACTGACTCACCTCCCAAATGGCCATAACAGCCTGGGCTGGGCCAGACTGAAGACCGGAACCTGGAGCTGTATCTGGGTCTCCCAAGTGGGTACCAGGACCCAAGCACTCAGGCCATCTTGCATTGCATCTCCAGACACGTTAGCAGGGAGCTGGATTGGGAGCAGAGCAGCTGGGACTCACAGCTTAACCTGCCACACCCCAACGCCAGCCCCAGTATCGATTTGTAGAACGGCGCGCAGTACCCAGCACTGGCTCCATGGGTCTGGCTGGAGAGAACTGTACACCAAGCTCGGTCACTGCATCTGTCAGTCCCCAGCATCTGCCTCACAGTGGGAGGTGGGGGGTGGGGGGTGGGGGTGGGGCCCTTCCTGTTTCATAGGTGAGGGTGTGGCAGCTCAGGCAGGTAAGGTGACATGCTCCGGGGGTCCAGGGCCCTGCAGGGCCTGAGCTGCCCCTTAAAACGTCAAGGGCGACACTGGGGACCCAAGGTCAGGGTCAAGTGGGGAAGCTAGACAGCCTGCCGGTGAGCTCTCTCTCCTCTGGCCTACAGCGGGGCCTAGGATTGAGTCAAGGAGTGAGGACCAAGCAGAAGGAATTTTCCAGTCGGATCAACTTTTATCAAGAGCAGGTACCCGGGAGGAAGGAATGTTCCACGCTGGATTGGAAAGTCCAGGTGGGCCTGCGGGAGGGCCCGACCTGGACGGAAATGCTCTTGGTCCAGGAGGTGGCGGAAAATGCCCGGGAAACTGATCTGTGGCCTCCGGCTGGCCTGATCACTCGGAGAGCCTCAGGCAGGCCCCACCCTGCTCCGAGTCTGCAGCCTCCTGGGGGTCTCTCCATGACTGGGACTTGTCCTCTGGTTCAGACCTGGTCCTCAGCGGTCACCACCCATCAGGGCTCCCTGGCATACCATGTGTGCCTGGCTCCACTACAAGGCACTGGCCCAAGGTGCACAGGTGGGCATGAGGTGGGCGGCCTTCTGCACTGGGCGACACTGGGGCTCAGTCTCCCTGCTGAGTAGGCAGCAGGTGGAGGGAGCGCAGCAAGCAAAGTCACAGTGGCATTTGGGGGAGTGGAGTACCTGCCTGGGACGAGGCTCCTGGGTCCTGGCCTTTGGGGTTGGCAGGGCTGTGGGGGCTGCCCTCGGCTGTGGCACAGGTTAGGCCCAGGGGAGGGGAGGCTCCCAATACAGGAGGAAACCAGGGCCCTGCAGGCTTGGGGAGCCCATGTTCTCTTCCCCTCTGCCACCACGGGGCGCAGGAGTGGTACAGGCAGCAGTAAGAGACTGGGAAGGGTGGCGACCCCAGACTTCCCTCTGCTCAGCTCACAGCTGCTCAACCTTCACCTGGGGGCCACACAAGTCATCAGCAAGCCTGGTGAAATATATCCCAGGGCTGTCCCGCCCCCCCCCCCCCCGCCTTTGCCAGCCGCAGAGGCCTTGCTGCTCGCTTGGCCTGGAATTCCCACCCCCACCTCTTACAGTGGTCTCAGCGCCAGTGTCACAACCTCAGAGGGATGAGCCCTGGCCACTGAGTCCCCAGCGGCCCCCTCTGGGCGTCTGCTGGTTTACAAGGGGCACTATGGGGAATTACTTTGTATGTATTTGTTCCTGGAAGCCTGGATTTGACGCAAGGCTAACTCCAATTATTCCAGGTTCCATTCCCTCCTGCAAAGTCACTGGGCCACTCTGTTCCCCTTAATGTCGCTCATGTGGTGGGGAGGGTCCCAAGAGAAGGAGGTGACCTGGGGGGTTGGGGGGGTGACGGGATCCTGGAAGAGTCAACCCTGTTAGAGCTGGCAGACTTTGGCCATCGGTTGCACAGACCCGGGCTCCCGCCCCCGCTGCCGCTCACCCTGCAGCCTCAGCCAGGAGAGAGAGCTAACACGAGCAACCTTTGCCCCGCAGGAGCACTGGATCTCCCCGCAGAGTGCCACGCACATCAAGCCCATGCACCCCACGTCTGTGCATGGCGTGGAGGACATGATCCGCCTGGGTGACCTCAACGAGGCGGGCATCCTGCGCAACCTGCTCATCCGCTACCGGGACCACCTCATCTATGTGAGTGCAGCTGCGGCCCCGCCCACGGCCACGGCCCCGCCCACGGCCGCAGGCCCCGCCTCCAGAGGGCTTGCCTGCAGCTGCAGGTCCCGTGGCTCCTCCTCCTGTGGGGTTTGTGTGAAGGGGGCACTTGTGCCTCTGTAAGCCTTCAAACCTCTGGACAGCAGTGAGAGGCTTAGCGCTTTGCCCAGGAGCTGGGAGCCGCTGCCGCTGGGTGTTTGCTGGGGCCTGGGGGCCGCCACAGGGTCCTCACAGCGTGGGGGAGGGTGGATAAGGAGCCTGGATACTCAGCAGGACCCAAAGCAGGGAAGCGCTCCTCCGCACCTCAGGCCAGTCCCCCCGCCCCCACTGTCTTCCACCCGTGTCACTGAGCCAGGGTAGTGACCCTATGAGGATGACTTGGAGAGCAGCAGAACCCATGGAGTGGTCATGCTTGCTGGCCACAGCAACCATTACAAGTCCCCAGAATTATGGGGGACCCCAAAGGGCTTGTGTTTCTGTGGGTTTATCTGCTGGTATTTACCATGTTAGAAGTTACAACTGAGAACTTGAAAAGTATTCATTGAAAATCATCAGTAGGATAACAAAGATGACATTTTATGAAAAATAATTACATTTGCCAAAATAAAGAAAAGTTAGAAGATTAGCCTTGCTTTCCAAGTTCACACCTCTGCAGTGCTGGGTTTGCTAGCAGACTACCAGACTGGCACGTCTGCTTCCCACGCAGTCTGATGCTGGTGTTTGGTGGCGCTGAATGGGGAGCGCCAGGCCTCGTGGACGTGGGTCTGGGGAGAGGCAGCCTCCCAGACTCCCCCGGGGGTCTTTGTCCCTGCTCTGAGAACTGCTGCCCTAGTCTGGTAGCTGCATTTCACAGAAGGGAGACGGAACCCCACCATGGGTAGCCAGGCCCAGAGCTGTGTGCTGGTCACTGCATGGCCCTGACCTGGCCCCACCCTCAGGCAGCCCCTGGTGAAGGAAGCCAAGGCCAAGAAAGCAGGTGGGGACAGGAGCGAGCCTCTTGGGCAGCCAGGGCTGCATCACGTGGCCCAGAGCAGGCTCCTGTGAGGACACTCTGAGGCTGGGGCGCAGAGGTGTGGGATGATGTGGGCATGAGAGAAGTGCTGAGGTGGCTCTGTGGGGCTTGGGAGTTTGGGGCGGCACAGGGGCGAGGGGTGGACAGGCCCCTGGTGCTGGGTGAGGCTGGCTGGGTGAGATGGAATTCAGGAGGGGGCGCTGTGTGAATAGAGGGCTGGAGGCAGGACCTGGCCAGGGCAGCAAGTGACACAGTGCCACTCAGGTTGTCAGGACCTTGAAGCAACAGGGAAAGCTGGGGCTGGAAGAGTCTGGGGCGCCCAGTGCGCCTGAGACACAGGGGGTGACCCTGCCCCTGCTACCCTGGCAGCTCCACCCCACCGGCTGGGTGAGGCCCCCGTGTCTGGAGGTGCCACCTGTGCTCTGCCTCCTCTGAGCAAGGAATGGGGGGCGAGGGAGTGGGGTGGTGTGGGGGCCGAAGGGCTCCCTGCAAAGTGCTTTGATGTGCCTATCGCATGGACACTATGAGCCAGGCACAGCCTCCCCTAGGAGCCCCCACAGCACAGGGGAGGGAGGTGGCTGACGGCCTCTCAAGCAGGCAGTGGGGGCCATGGTTCCAGGGCTTCTGTGGGAGGCTGGACCCTGGCTCCCAGAGTTCCTTGAGCTGCCACTGCTGCTTCTGGAGCCTGCCTCAGCAGGAGGCTGGGACCAGGAGCTGGACCCGGGTTCTGCTGTATAGGACACAGGCTTGTGAAACACTCTAGGTTAAATAACCGCCCCGGAACTTAATTTTATTTTTTTCTGCACACTTTTTGAAGTCCCCTTGTAGGTGAGCAGAGAGGTTGCCAATCCACCCGCCCAGAGTGGTGACTGTCAGGACAGATCCCCCGTCATTGGCCGTGTGCCCCAACTCAAGGCCAGCTCTCCTGTCCGGGGAGCCAGGGACCCCTTCCCAGGGGAGGTGCTGGTTGCTATGGGTGTTTCCCCACCCAGGACCCTGCAGATGGGTGTCTGGGAACCCCCAGGAGGCGTGGAGCGCTTGGTTCGGTGATTCTGCAGGCGGTTTTGTTCTTCATCTGTGGGGGGGTCTCTGGGCTGAATCAAGGCAAAACAGGCCGCGTACGGAAGAGGGAGAGACAGGCGGCTCGGCCAGCCCGGAGCAGTGAAGCTGCGCCTGAGATCGGGGCTGTGCTGAGCTGGTCACTGCCGGCTGGGGTCACCCCGGCTTTCTCTCCTTGGAGCGTGACCTTTACTCTCTGGGGGACCAAAGACTGATTCCAGAGGCTTATGGGTGCTCCAGAGAGCCCTCGAATCTGCGCCATGTGCCTCTCGGGTGCTCAGCTGTAGCCTTTCTGACAGGGACCAGGGAAGAGCCCACATGAGCCACCTGCCACCTGCTGCTTGTCAGGGCCTCCTGGCCGGGAACCAAGCCGTGGCAGCTGGGGGTCCCGGGACCCATGCTCAATCCTTGCAGGCTCAAAGGGGTGGCCGGGGCCTGCTGAGTCTGCAGTGCTGTGGCTTGGCGGACAAGGTGCCGTGAGAGCAAGGCCTGGAGTCCCGCCCAGAAACCATGCCTGTCCCTCACCATGGCAACGCCTGTCACTTCGTGGGTCAGGTTACCTTGGGCACAGCCCATACGCCCGTGATGTCCTCGTATTACCAAGGCTGCCTGCAGCCTTACGACGTATCCCTGAGCTGAGTGGCCTGCACCGGGAGCCCCAGGCAGTGTCCCAGGGCTGCGATCAGCCCGGGGCCCCCAGAATGAGGGAGGGGTATAGGGACACCTCCAAACCCTTCACTGGGTGGTCCAAGAGGCCAGCGGTTGTCCCTGGGTCCTGTAGGAAGCAGGGGCCAAGCTGCTGGAACCCAGGGCTCCCTGGTGCCGGACAGAGGCTGGGGGCCTGCTCTGGGAGATGCGGGACTGGGACCTGATGTTGGATGTGGCTTTAGGGGGTCCTTGGCCCCGTCTGGGCTCAGTCTTCTCTCGGGCATGGCCCTGGGGTGAGAGCCCTGGTCACCATGGGAAGCGGAGTCCTGGGAGTTGCTTTTGGTCTCCCTGGCCTGCTGGATGCTAAGGAAAGTCCCCAGTTTTACAGGCCTGGGGGCTCCCTGGAAGAGGTGGAACTGGAGGTAGAATTGGTTCCTGCCCCTTCCTTCTGATCTCAAAGAGGCCTCTTGATCTTGACTTGGAGACTCGGGACCCCATGGGGACCTGGGCTTTGTCCTTGGCCTGGGAATGGTCCTTTGCCCCTCCCCCGCCACCTCTGCCTCCCCCAGTCCTCACCTCTGCCCTGTGCTCCACAGGCGTTTGTTACTGAAGAACTGAGCAGGGGCCTCTGCTGGGCTGGCCCCTTAGAAACGGGGGTGGGGGAGGGGCTGGAGGGCTCAGTGAGCAGTACCGAGCCTGAAGGGGCCATGGGCACTGAGGTACAAAGAGGGCCAGGACCTCCCTGCCAGCCCTGGCCTGGCTGCCACACTCTTCCACCACCCCAGCTGCCAGCCCCACTGGTCTCGCAGGTGCCTTCCGGGAGAGACCGGCGCTGGGGCCCCTGTGCTGAGGTCCCTGGCTCATCCCAAGCCCTGCTTCTCTCCTGTACGACCCAGGCATATCCCCCACTTGTCTGAGGGACTGAGGCTCAGTTCTGCTGTCTGATAAGGGGCGCAGGCGCGCCAGGTGACGAGTGAGGGCATCGGTCTGCTCTCTTCACTGCGGAGGGCCTCAGTGTACGATGCGTTTAGGAATGGGTAGATATGCTGCAGGCTGGAACATGTTCACAGAGAAAGTGACACTATTTTTCATCAGTTCTCCAGGGGGAGGACAGACTGTGTGTGTACATGTGTGCACTTGTGTGAGTGTGCCTGTTTGTGTGTGTATGCATGTGTGGTGCTTGCATGTGTGCACGTGTGTGGTATGCATGCATGCATGTATGTGCAGGCAGGTGCGATGTGTGTGCGTGCATGTGTGGTGTCTGCGTGTGTGCGCATATGTGGTGTGCATGTGTGCATGCATGCATGTGTGTGGTGTGTGCGAGTGTGTGGTGTGTGTGTGTTCATGCGTTTAGAGCCTCACCCCCCCCCCCCAGTGGAGGGCAGATGGCAGGGAAGGTGGGAGCCCATGGAAGGGGTCTGCAGTGGTCAGCTGAGACACGGGCCAGGGAGGTGGCCACACAGGGACAGAAGGGGAGCAGTGCCCAGGGGCTGCCCGGGGTGGAGGGTGGTGGTGGCACCCTAGGCCAGCTTGGGCAGGCAGCTGAGCCCTCCGTGCTGGGGGACACCAGGAGGCAGGGAACCACAGGGCCTCGTGCTCAGGAGGACCTGCTGGGGTGTGGGCAGGGCGGAGAGGGCCAGGGGAGCCGTGGGTGGGAGCCGAGTCCCGTCCCAGCCCCAGGAGGCCTCATGGCGTCTCGGCATCCTCCGTGTCCGTCTCTGGCAGTGTCCCCGCCTCTCAGGGCCGGCTCCGTCTGGCCCTCACCCCTCCCGCGGGCTGGTCATTAGGGCTGAGACAGCCTCAGAGACTCTGCTATTCTTCGTCCCGGGGTGAGCTTTCCCCAGCAGACCTCCCGAATGTCGCGCCCTTTCACGCCTCTGCTCAGTGCCTGCTGGCCACCGTCTGCCACCACCCCCGCCTCGAGCTGCGCTCCCAGCCTCCCCTGTCTGAGGCAGGGTCGCAGATGCCGGTGTGGGCTCAGCCATCTGCACCTGCTGATCACGAGCTGGGCGGCCGAGCCTCACCGTCTGGACAGGGGGTGGCACTGGTGCCCACGGTACCTGGAAAGGCTGGTTGTCTGCCCTTCAGTTTCTGTAACAGCCACGGGAGGTGGATGTCAGTCATCTCCTTTTACAGACAGGCGGAGTGCTCCCTGTAGCTGATTCCCCACCTGACGTGGGCCCCCCTTCGCCGGCCCCAGAGACCACTGTCCAGCTGGTTCCCGTGGGGCAGGGCCCCGTGGCTGGGGGCTGCAGGCTCTGACCTGCGAGTATGGGGAACCCCAGGCGATGTGGGGTGTTGTCGGTTGTCTGCTCACTGGCTCCCTTTCTTGCTGCCCGGCACATGACGCCGCAGACCAGCTGTGGAGGGCGGGTGAGTGTGGTGCAGACAGCACCCAGGACGGTCCTGCTGCTTTGCTTGGCCTGGCTGCCCCGCTGCGGCCTCCTGCCCACCCTGGCTCTTCCTGCTTGGGCCCGGACTGCACCCTTGGTCATCAGCAGGGAGTGTCAGCTGCTGCTGGCCATGGTCATGTGGAGGAGGCAGCTTGTGGGAGAGGAGACTCTTCCTGGCCCCAGAGAAGGGGGGGTCTGGCCAGGTCTCCCGGCCTGGGGGCCAGCGCCGGAACAGGAGCCCCGGGCTGTTCCCCAAATGCGGTGCCTGCAGCCCTGCTTTCCTCCATGGCTGCCTTGGGCTGAGGCTGCTGGGACACGGCTGCGGCCCTGGGGGGATGCACGGAGCCCTGGGTGGGAGGGGTGGCCCCCTGTCACCTCCCTTGCGTGGGCACATTTTTCCTCTGGCTCTGTCGGCCCCAGATGTCCATACCTCCATGCCAATTATAGGCAGGGCCTGACCTTTTCAAGCTTGAGTTGCCAGTGAGAGAGGGAGGAGGAACCCTCCAGTGCCTCCGGCTGCCCTGGTGGCAGGAGGGCCAGGCCACACTGTCCCTGTGTGTGCCAGGGCCCAGCCCACAGCAGTGGGTCTCACCATGAATGGCCACTCTGTGCATGGACCGAGAAGCCCAAGAGGGGAAAGCCCACAGAAAGCTGTTTGAGGCGTGTAGGGCCCTGCTGCTGCCAGCCTGGTCAGTGGGAGGTGCCCTGTGCTGCCGAGTACGGGGGCCGCTCCCCCCCGCTCCCCCAGCAGCTCAGCCTCCCCTCGGGATGGGCTCCTGTATCCGAATTTCCCTCCAAAAGCTGGGGTGCAGGCCTCGGAAGCCAGGATTTGAGGCCCCAGCGTGCTGTGGTTTTCACAGTACACGGGCTCCCTTAGCCTTCCGAGGCAGCTCTCTGGTGCTCATTTGACTGATACAGAAAGGGAAAGCAAAGTTTAGAAACCCCGTCTCCCTCTCGCCCCAGGTCTCTCCTCCCAGCCCCTGCACCATTGAGCGTGAGCCGGCCCCAAGCTGGTCTGGAGGCCCAGCCCAGCTCCCGAGGAGGCAGGGTCTGCACACGGGCCCCCAGGGCCTGTGGAGCAGGGCACGGCCTCCCGCGTGGCAGTCCTCAACACCCCTTCCTCCCTGCTGCCCGCAGACGTACACGGGCTCCATCCTGGTGGCCGTGAACCCCTACCAGCTGCTGTCCATCTACTCGCCCGAGCACATCCGCCAGTACACCAACAAGAAGATCGGCGAGATGCCCCCCCACATCTTCGCCATCGCCGACAATTGCTACTTCAACATGCAGCGCAACAGCCGCGACCAGTGCTGCATCATCAGGTGGGCCGCTCAGACGCCGGGAGGGCTCGGCGCACGGCCGCGATGGTCCTGGGACTCCCGCTGTGCCGCAACGCGCAGAATCCCCTCGCATTCCCTCGGTCTCCCGTCTCTACTAAGGCAGCAGGGTGCGGGTCAGCTTTTGAGTCCAGCCTTGTTCCCTGCCGGCTCCTGATACGTTAGGAAATCTCGGGCACCCGTGTTCTCTTGGGCAGAGGGTTGGCTGAGCACCTGACATGTGCCAGGCTCTGTGGCAACTAAGAGCCGAGGAGTGCAGATCTGAACCTTGGGGACAGAGTGACCTCTGGGTGTGGCCGTGCATGGAGCTCCTCCGGTCCTCCCCTGGCCCCCGACGGCCCAGATTGTCGGGTCAGTTAGAGATGGCAGTGCGGAGGGGTGCGGCGTGGGCTGTGACGGCTCATGGGCTCGCTCCTTCCGCAGTGGGGAGTCTGGGGCCGGGAAGACGGAGAGCACCAAGCTGATGCTGCAGTTCCTGGCCGCCATCAGTGGGCAGCACTCGTGGATTGAGCAGCAGGTGCTGGAGGCCACTCCGATCCTGGAGGGTAAGGCCAGTGCGCCGAGGGCGGGGCGGGGCGGGGAGGGGGCTGCCCTTGCCCGTGACCTTCTGCGCACCTGCAGCCTTTGGGAATGCCAAGACCATCCGCAATGACAACTCCAGCCGCTTTGGGAAGTACATCGACATCCACTTCAACAAGCGGGGCGCCATCGAGGGGGCCAAGATCGAGCAGTACCTGCTGGAGAAGTCCCGTGTCTGTCGCCAGGTGGGCCTGAGCCCCGGGCTCGTGGGAGTGCGTGTGGTCCTTCCCTGGAGCAGAGCGGCACCTGTTCCGACCCCGGCCAGCTGCGTAGCTCTGGTGGTCCCTCACCTGCCCTAGCTGCTGCCTCCTGGCCTCTGTGCCTGAAGTCCCCTTGGCTTCCTGCCTGACCGTGTTTGTGGCCCTCCTGATGTCCTGTGTCCTGACGGCCTCTCCTGTCTCCTCCCCACCCGCTCCTGTGCGCCCAATGCTTCCAGGCCCCTGATGAACGGAACTACCACGTGTTCTACTGCATGCTGGAGGGCATGAGCGAGGCTCAGAAGAAGAAACTGGGGCTGGGCCAGGCTGCCGACTACAACTACTTGGCCATGGTGAGGTCCCGATGGGCACCCCATGGGCTGCAGGTAGACCCAGGCCACGTGCACACAGGCTCCCCCAGCTCCCGGTGGTTGGCAACACGTGTGGGCCGTCTCCTGTCCTGCTCGGCCCACCTGGGGCTCGCCTGTGCCCTGAGGCCTGCGGCCCACTTGGCCATTGTTGCCACCACCAAGCACCGCCTCCTTAGCCCTGGGGGGAGCTGTTGCCTGGGGCTGGGCTGGAGCAGGCCACAGACACAGGCATAGACTAGGGTGCCTAAGGGCTGTGTGTGTGTCTGTGTGTGGTATGACAGCACTTCCTGGACACTCCCTGTAGCTGGCTGGCACACTTGGGCACGCACACACATGCGTGTGTACACACAGGTCTCACAGGCATGTGCAGATCGCCGCAGGCTGCCATCATTGCTCTGCCTATCTGCAGCTGCCCCTCCTCCATCCATATCAGGCTGCACCTGGGGAGGGGTCGAGTCCCTGAGTGTGGGTGTCCTGGAGGGAATGAGGGGCCATGGAAGGCCCTGGCTGTGTGACTGCCAGACAGGTGGCCAGGGCTCTGTGACCTGGCTCCTCTCATTCGTGGGAGGGAGGGAGCCCGGGGTCCCTGGGTGGATGTGGTCGGTGTGTTCCTGAAAAGCCTGGGCAGGAGTGCTGTGGACCTCTGGAGGGGTCCTGAAGCCCACCAGGTGAGATCAGTACCTGGGGTCCTGAGCCCTTCAGCCCGGCACTGCCCCCCTGCGTGCCCATGGCCTCCCTCAGGCCCTCCCATTACCTGCCCCCTCCCCGGCCCCGCCCACAGGGTAACTGCATAACCTGCGAGGGACGCGTGGACAGCCAGGAGTACGCCAACATCCGCTCGGCCATGAAGGTGCTCATGTTCACAGACACAGAGAACTGGGAGATCTCGAAGCTCCTGGCCGCCATCCTGCACCTGGGCAACCTGCAGTATGAGGGTGAGAGGCCGCGCAGATGTGCCCTGCCCCGCCCCCTGCTGGACACCTGACCGCACACTGGGTACCAGCAGTGGTTTCCACCCCAGTGACGTGTACCCTCCTTGGAAGGACGCCTGGGAGAAGTCCCGTGCGGGTCGGTTTGCAGAGGTCGGCTAGCTTGGCGGCAGCCTTAGGGGTGGCATCACTGGGCTGCGACCGTGTCCTGGAGATGCACAGAGGAAGGATGCTGGGAGTTGACTAGGGGCCCCTTAAGTCTGGCCTCTTCTGTAAGGTCAGCCGCCTTAGAGTGAGGGCCAATCTTTGAACCACTTCACACATAGATGTGGGTGACTGTAGTCATCTCCTGAAAGCCAGAAGGCTAGGAAAGGGAGCCTCTGATGTTCCCTGGATGTGTACTCTGTGCCAGGCCGAGAGGTCCTCTTTGCTCGTGCGTGAGCCTCGGGCAGAGCTGGGGCTCTGTGGCATTTGCTCAGTGCATGAACTCTGCATGAGAGAAAACATGGGATTGACCGCCCCAGGCAGAAGGCAGGGCTGTGAGTAGGGTACAGGGGAGGAAGGGCGAGTTCGTGCCTGTCTCGTAGGAGTGGGCTGCCCCTGAGAGCTCGGGAGTCTGGGATGGAGAGGGAGGGGCAGACACGCACACTGCCAGTGTCTGCCACTTGGATGGTAGGTATGGGGCCAGGTGTGGAGCACGCAGGGTCCCTGCCCTCAGGGACCCCATGGATCCCTGGCGAGAACATCGCCCAAACATCTGTTGACCCAGACAAGCATTTAGACAGGGTAGACATGGCGCTCGTGCCCTCTGTGGACAGGGCCAACCCTCCCCCTAAGAGTGGCATGGCTCCTGGTCCCGCCAGGACTGCCCCTCGCCCCCACGTCCACCTCCCTGCCCTGACGCCACGCCCCTTGCTGCCGACAGCCCGCACGTTTGAAAACCTGGATGCCTGTGAGGTCCTCTTCTCCCCGTCGCTGGCTACAGCCGCGTCCCTGCTGGAGGTCAGTGCCCAGCCTTCTCTCCCACCACTGCCTCTGCCCCGGCGAATCCAGCGCTGGCTGCGAGCTCAGCGGGGCCAGGATGTGGGAAGCGGCTTGCTGGGTCCCCTGCTTGGGAGAGCCCTCACTGTTCAGTGTTGAGAACCCACAGTGTCTGGGCTCTGCTGGGCACGGGTCCCAGGGGAGCAGAGCCAGATCTGGGACCCTCACTGGCCTGTGCTAGCCAAGTGTCCCCAGAAGCTGTGGGCTGGGGTGGGGCACGGGAGCCCAGGGGCCTGGGCTGGGTGCCCTGGGCGAGTCATTCCTGGCTTCAGTCTCCGCACCTGGGGACAGCGTATGGGTATCCATGCATCAGGTACGTTGAGTCTGTCACTCATTCAGCCGACGAGGCTCTGCCCTGGGTTAGACAACTGACCAATAGAGCCAGAGTCACAGCCAGTCCTGGCGGGGCCAGGGAACCTGCTGGGGCAGTCGAGGGGCTGTGAGCCAGGAAAATTCCTTGTGCGCAGGGTTTGGGTGTGGGCCCCAGGGAAGGGCGGTCTCAGTGCAGGGGGTGGGGGGAAGGACAGGCCGCAGATGTCTGGGGGTCCTGGGTGAGACCCGGGTGTCCCTGCACCAGGTGAACCCCCCAGACCTGATGAGCTGCCTGACGAGCCGCACCCTCATCACCCGTGGCGAGACGGTGTCCACCCCGCTCAGCAGGGAGCAGGCGCTGGATGTGCGAGACGCCTTTGTCAAGGTGGGCTGGCATGGAGTGGCCCTCCACCCCCTCTGCGCCTGGCGAGGATGAGCTGCAGTGGACAGGTGCCAAGGAGTCTGCAGAGCTGAGCAGATCACTGGGTATCGACCCCTGCCTGCCTGGGGCCCAGGGTCCAGGCACCAGCCACTGGCTGCCTCTGGGGCCTGGGTGCCAGCGCGCCTCCCTGTGAGCCTCAGGGGTCTGGCCATCCCTCGGGAGCTGGGCGCTTTGCACCCCCACCCACCCCGGGACCTTGCCAGCTCCATCCTCACAGCCCTCAACTGTTGGCCTGCTTTGATCAGCTGTTTCCAGCCGGGAGATGCCCTCTTCGGGGTGCATGGGGGACCCTTGGGTCCTTGCTGTTTCTGCAGTCATGCACTTGCCATTCACAGAGTCCTGCAGCCTGTGCTGGGCCCTGACCTGGGCTCTGGGACCTTAGTGGGGAGGAGGGCAGAGCCAGGAGCCCCGAGGAGGGCCCCTTCCCAAACCGGCAGGGCCGGGGAGGGACTCAGCGGGGCCCATCTCTCAACAGAGCTTTGAAACTCGGGCAGTGGGTTCTCCAGGCAGGCTCGGGGCTCCGGGCAGAGGGCGTGGCTCGGGTAAAGGCTGGGCAGTTGTGAGCAGCACGTCCCTCCCCAGGCGGCCGCAGTGGGGCCACCGTGCCTCCGGCAGCCTGGCGGTCTCACGGGGCGGGTGTGCTGGACATGAGGCTGCGGATGGCCGCTTTCAGGGAATCTACGGGCGGCTCTTCGTGTGGATCGTGGACAAGATCAATGCGGCCATTCACAAGCCGGCCTCCCAGGAGGTGAAGAGCTCTCGCCGGTCCATCGGCCTCCTGGACATCTTCGGGTTTGAGAACTTCACCGTGAACAGGTACCACGTGGGGCAGTGCCCTGGGGGACGGCTCTTCCTCAGCACGGACGTCACGTCCTCCCTTTAGGCCGCCTGGAGCTGGCTCGGGCAGGCCCTGCCAGGCCGGTAGGAATTGGCCTTCAGTTGCCTGGAGGCCCAAGGCTGTGATACCGTCCTGGCCACTTGAGGAGGCCACCTCTGGTCTCCAGGCTCCACTGGCTACTGCCGATCTGCTCAGGGCTGAGGCTGGGCCTGAGCCAAGCCTGAGCATCCTGGTCTTGGCCACTCTTGAATGATGGAGTAGTCACAGCTGGATCCTGGCCCCGCTTCCTGTCTGGGTGACTGTGGTAGGTCACCCCCATCCCGTCCTGATTGGCTGTCACAGAGACACACTGAGTAGGCAAGGCTGGGTCTGTGCAGCCAGGTCAGCATCTAGACCCTGATCGCCAAAGCCTGCACTCTGTCGAGCCCTGGGCACCCACCTGCCAGCTCTCCAGCCCTCCCTGTGTACCGACATGCAGGCAAATGTGGGCTCTGAGCTGGGGTCCTCAGCCCTGGGTTCAGGCCTTACCTCTCCTGTTTCAAAATGTTTGTTTATTCATCTTATTTGGTTGAAAGGCACAGAGACAGACAGTCTCCCATCTGCTGCTTCTCTCCCCATTGCCTCTAACAGCTGGGGCTGGTCCAGGCTGAAGCTGGGGGCCAGGAACTCCACCCGGGTCTCCCATGTGAGTGGCGGGGACCCAAGCACTTGAGCCTTCACCCACTGCTTCCCAAGATGTATCTTAGCAGGAAGCTGGAACCCGGACTCGAACCCAGGCCCCCAGTATAGGATGCGCATATCCCAAGCAGTGTCTGAGCTGCTGCGTCAACCCCTTCACTGTCCTTCCGATACACTGAGTGACCTTGGGCAAGCCCTCTGCCCTGCTGGGCCTCTGTGTCAGCCCCATCCCTGCCTCAGAGGCTAGAGAGTCGGTGATGGGGAGGCATCATGCAGAAGGTCACTCTGCAGGTCCAGGCTGTGCTGGGCTCCTGAGTGGCAGGACAGGGACCTGAGCAGCGCCCCGCCCCACCCCACCCCTCGCACCCCTGCAGCTTCGAGCAGCTCTGCATCAACTTCGCCAACGAGCACCTGCAGCAGTTCTTCGTGCGGCACGTGTTCAAGCTGGAGCAGGAGGAGTATGACCTGGAGAGCATCAACTGGCTGCACATCGAGTTCACCGACAACCAGGATGCCTTGGACATGATCGCCAACAAGCCCATGAACATCATCTCCCTCATCGACGAGGAGAGCAAGTTCCCCAAGGTGCCCCCCGCCCCCCAGCAGGCCAGGGTCCTGCCAGGGCCGCCTACAGGCTGGGGCAGGGGCAGGGGCAGGTCCCTTCCCAACTCCAAGCCTTAGCTTCCTTCACCTGCAAAATGAGAGTCGTGACACCTGCCCCTAGGGTGGCTCGGAGACTGATCCCCGGGCACCCACCTGACATTCGGGAACCACCTGCAGGTCGCAGGTCTGGGAGCTACAGATCTAAGCATGCAGTTGGTGCAGAATTAGGTGCCCAAGGCTCAGAACACGTCTAGGAATGGTGAAGGGGAAAGAGGAGAGGCTCCCAAGGAAATCGATTTCTAAATGGAAATGGACTTCCAAGGTCGTATGCTTCCAATGTATCCACACGGCAGAGAGCGCCTGTCTGGGTTCTAAATGAAGGGAGGGTAGGCTCATGAAGAGGGGTGCAAAGACCCGAGAGGAAAGGCCGAGGGCCTGGGCAGGAGGGGTGGGGTCAACAGCAGCCCCTCCATCCCCACAGGGCACGGATGCCACCATGTTGCATAAGCTGAATTCGCAGCACAAGCTCAACACCAACTACATTCCCCCCAAGAACACCCATGAGACCCAGTTTGGCATCAACCACTTTGCAGGCGTGGTCTACTACGAGACTCAAGGTACAGAGGGGTGCCAGGGCTGTCTTCTCTGCCTGTGGCCCCAGCTGCCCCTCCACAGCCCGGGAGAAAGGTCCTAGAATACAAGGAGCGGGAACTGGAAGCATGGGGTGCAATGCCCTTTTCTCAAATTTAAAAAAAAAACTGTCGTAAGATTAAATAACATAGTCTACCATTTTAACCCTTTTAAAAATACCTATTTGTTTGAAAGGCAGAGTTACAGAAGGAAAGAGAGAGGGAGTGTGTGTGAGAAAGAGAGATCTCCCATCTGCTGGTTCACTCTCCAAATGCCCATAAAAGCTGGGTCAGGGACTGGGAACTCCCTCCAGGTCTCACACATGGGTGACAGGACCAAAATACTTGGACCATGGTCTACTGCGTCCCAGGAGCATTAGCGGGAAGTTGGATCTGAAGCAGAGGCAGGACTTGAACCCAGGCATTCCCATATGGGATAAGGGCATCCCTAGCAGTGGCTTATCCTGCCGCACCATGTACCTGCCCCTGTGGTAACCCTTTTTAAGTGACCAATCCGGTGGCATTAAGGACATGCACATGGCACAGCCATCACCACCGGCGTCTCACAGACTCACCTTGGACAGAGATGCCAGATCCACTCAGCAGGAACTTCCTGTCCCTCCCTGCTGCCCCGACCTCCATTCAACTTCCTGTCTGTGCACTTGGCTATATGCAGACTCCTGCAGTATTCGGCCTCTTGTGTCTGGGGTGGGCCTCTTAGCAGGACGTCTTCAGGGCTCATCCTGGCACTGCCAGTCCCCTTCCTTTCCCTGGATATGAGCCCCATTCCAGCACGTGGAGCCTGTGTGTGGTTGATCTGTTGCCTGCTAATGGGCGGCGGGCTCTCCCTCCCTGTAGGCTGCTATAAATACCACTGTAAAGTACCCCTCTGAGTCCCTGCTGCCGATTCCTTTGAGTTGGCTCCTTGCTACTTTGTACATGTAGGGAAACTGAGGCTGGGCAGTTTGGGGCAGGGGAGTTGACTGTCCTTACGTGACGTGGCATGACCTATGGCACCAGGCCAGGCAGAGCAAGAGCCCAGTTACCCACCATGGCTGAGCTCTGAGGGAAAGCGTCTTCTTCCTCCTGAGCGCCACACAGTGGAGCTCATTCTAAGTCTGCAAGAAGCGGGGTCAGAGCGCAGCTTTATCCCACTGGGTCTCTGTGCCGTCTGCCATGCAGGCAGCCCAGTGACACTCCCCAGCCACCCCCAGCCAGCAAAGCTCCCCACTACTCAGCCCCTCAGGTCTCAGCCCCAGGAGTGGCAGCCTCCTCCGGGCCCGTGTGGTATGAGGCAGCACCCTGGGCGGGGCCGGGGCTGGGGCCGGGCGCCCCAGGGGAGGATGGAACTCAGCCTGGCACAGGTTCTCTGAGCACCAGTTTCCTCCCTGGAGGTGCCTGCCTGCCCCACCGTGCAGGGGAGTGGGGAGGGTACCCTGTAGAAGGCAGGGAGGAGTGGGGTTGAATGGGCTCCTGGACTCAGCTCGCACGCGTCGCCAGTGTCCTCGCCCGGGCAGCCTGCTGCCTCAGCGAAAGACCACATGGTGGCTTTGGGGTGGCTCAGGAAGGTGGCCCTGCTGTGATCTGGAGACCAAGCCTCCCTGTCTTTCTGGAATAAGCCCAGAAGAGGGTTCTGTGTTGGGGAGTCAGCCCCTCGCTTCCAGTGGTCATGGGCAAGCCGCCGCCCTCCCCAGGCCTCAGTGTCCACCTACTATGGGGGTGAATCTTTGTGTGTGGGGTCCTCCCAGCTCAGACTCGCTGATTCGGGAAGGGCCGGGGCTGTCAGGCGGGCGAGGTCTGAGCCCTCTTTGTGCTGCCCAGGCTTCCTGGAAAAGAACCGGGACACCCTGCATGGGGACATCATCCAGCTGGTCCACTCCTCCAGGAACAAGTTCATCAAACAGATCTTCCAGGCCGACGTTGCCATGGTGAGGCTTGGGGCTGCGGGCTGGGAGGCGGGCTGCAGGGTGGCCAGGGCCCTCACCCTAGAGCCAACAGCTGCGGTCCAGCTCCAGGAGGGGCCTGCAGGACCCCCGTCTGGTTTTCTTGTGCTGATTGAGGGGTGCTATGGGCCGTGGGAGCGGTCAGGCCTCTGCTCACCATGGAGGTCCACCCAGGAGCAGGTCCGACCTCCAGATGTGGGAAGGGTGTCGTGTGGCATCCAGACCCTGGCACAGAGGGCAGGTGCGCCCCGCTGCCTTTCCTGATCTCCAGGGGCGGCATCCCGGCCCCTCTCCTGCTTTTCTGGTTCAGATGTAACCCCGTTCCTGTAGCTCGTCGGGAGGGCGGAGCCCTTGGCTGCTGGCCACGCAGGCTTCTCCCCGGGGCTTTTGCCCACCGCGTGGCCCTCGCCCGCGCCTCACTCGCGCTGTGGTTCCCCTTGTAGTTTCTCTGTGGGTACTCATCCGGCACTCTCCGCCAGCCAGCAGCTTCGGCCAAGGTAACAGAGCCCGGCCTGGGGCCCAGGACGGCAGGAGCGGCCTCCGCGGCGGGGCTGCGCGTTTTCTCCTTCCTTGGAGTGTGTTTTTTGTGGAGTGCTTTGTGGAGTGGTTTTTGGCTTGGGTTTTTGAGTTGTGTGTGCCGCCAGCAGCTCAGTTTCTTCGCGGAGGAAACTGAAGAGGGCGGGACTCGCCAGGGTGCCCGGGACTGGGGGCGGAGCCTGGACTGGGGGCGGAGCCGAGACCAGGGGCGGAACCAGGACCCAGGTCTCTGGAGCCTTCTGCCTGCAAGGAGGCGCGGGTGTTCTGTGCGCTGCGCGGCTCCAACACGGGGGCGACTCAGGCCCAGGCGCTGCGCCCTGCTGGGGAGCTGGGCCTCCTTAGGCCTGGAGCAGCAGCCCTGTGTCCTGACCCCACTTCAGGCGATCCAGGTCCCAGAGGTGCTGGGGACCGCTCAGCAATAGCCTGGCCCCGCCGTCCCTGCCGCCTCCCTTGTCCATTCACAGCCTCAGTCTCCTCTCTGCCTGATGCTGTGGCTGCCAGCCCACGTGTGGCCTCCTGCTGAGCCCCTCCCCCTGCGCCCGGTGCCTCCCAGAGCAGGGAGCTGCTCTGCACAGCCACCCCTCTCCTTTGCCCGCCGATGGGCCCTGGCACTGCTTTGCCACCAAACACACACAGGCCAGTGCTGTGGCCCAGCCAGCTGACAGGTGCCGTCCCAGGCACTCAAAGGTCCTGCACCCAGGGGAGTCCCCATCTGAAGCCCACACCTGTTAGGATCCCAGCGTAGGTGAAACAGGTGTGCTGCGGACTCCCTCCACACTTCCCTCCTGTCTTGCCCCACCTGCCGCTCAGCTGGGGACTCGCTGACCCACCGCGTCTTCTCCCTGCCCCGCCTCTCTCTCCTCCCTCTTGAGAGCTCTGGGAGGCAGCCAGGGCCTCTCCATGGAGCTTCCTGTCTAAGATCCCTTGCTGGAAATTGTTGGCTAAGGAATCATGGTGAGGTCCAAGTGCAGGAGCCCGGGGTCTCCCAAAGTGACCCACTTGGGAGGGAGTTTGGGAGAGAATTGGATGCGACAGGGACAGATGTGATATGGATCACATCTCCTGGGCCCCTCTTCTGAGCCTCGCACTAAGCACTGACATCTCTCATCTCATTCACCCCCAAAGCCACCCAGTGAGTAGTTGCCATGACTCCCACTCTAGGTAAAGCAGGGAGGCCAGGTGCATGCTCAAGGTCACACAGCTGTGACTCAACAGGGCCTGGAACTTGGGCCTGTCTCCAGGACACACTGGGAGCTGTCCAGGGGCCTACACAAGTAAGGGCTAAGTGTTCAAAGTCTTTGTGTTACTTTTTTTTTTTTTACGTAATTTTTTAAAACCTTGGGTGTCTGCAAGCATCACATTCAAGAAAGAAAAAAGGCATTGTAACTGCAGGCACCTGCTGGCTTTCCTAATGGGGTGGAAGTCAGCTTGGCTGATCGTGGAAACTGAGAGGCAGCTCCCCGAGGGGCAGCGTCCTGGCTGCAATGCGGCTGCAGGAAGGGAAGCCACCCGCCTCCCCGGAGATCGGGGCTGCCGCCCGGCACAGCTGCCCAGCCTCTCGGTGTCCCCCCTTCCACTCCTGGGGTGCCTCCCCAGGGGGCTGCACAGCCACGAGGAGGGCAGGCGGCCCGGAGTCCTGTCCACGCCGGTCATGTATCTAGTCATGGCTCTGGCCCCGGGTCTGCAGGACGCCTGTTCTCCGTGCACGTGGCCTTCTCCTGCCTGTGGCTTCCCAGGTGTCTCCCCTCAGATCCCTTGCAGAGCCACTTAACCTTGGCCTTGGGACACTGCCATCTTCAGCCCATCCCCAGACACCTGCCGATTGTCCCCAACAGCACGACTGTCAGGGAGGCCTCAGAGAAAGGAAAGCAAGACAGAGACCCAGAGGGCCACGTGTGAGAGCGGACCCACCCCCCACCCCAGGGTTCCTGTGTGCTCATTCACCCGCGCATTCCACCTGCAAGTATTTACCCAGTGCCCAGTCTGTGCAGGCTGCTCTAGGTTCCGGGGAGCGGCAGTGAATAAAGAGGGAAGTCTCTTTCCCCAAGAAATTTGTGTTCTAGCAGAAGGGGAGCGGTCAGAGGCAGGCAGTAAGCGCACACAACCCTGTGCCCCCTGGTGGTAGGCGGCATGGAGACAGACGAGGGAGGAGGACTGTGGGGGCGGGAGGGGCGCTATTTTGAGTCAAGGTCAGGAGAGGCCTTGCTGAGAAGCCGGCAAGGAGGGAAGGATGCCAGCTGCCAGCCACCTGCCGTCGGGAGGAAGGGCTTTGCAAGGGCAGGGGCAGCATGTGCAAAAGCCCTGGGGTGTGCGCGGGAGCCCGAGCCTTTCTGATGCGTCCTAGGCAGGGCCAGGAGGCTGCGGAGGCTGGGAGGGAGGGACAGATGGAGAGGGCACAGAGGGCCCGGGAGCACGCCTGTGGGGTACCGTGGATATTTCCTGCACAGTGGACTGGGGCGGGGCGGAAGTCGGGGGAGACCCTCGCCCAGCTGCTGTGTTGGTTGGGGGCGGGGCGGTCCGGTCTGGAGGTCAGTGCAGTAGTCTGAGAGCAAGGCTGGGGCTTGGGCACAGCTCGTAGTGAGGGGAGTGGTGACGGGGGGTCTGGGTCTGGGGTTCGCAGGTGGAGCCAGTGAGACCTGTGGATGTGGTGACGAGAAGGGGAGGCGCGGGGGGAGCTGTCTAGATTCCTGATCCGAGCCATCTGAGCCCCCGCTGACACCAGGATGCTCGCGGTCAACGTGTTGTCACTGTTCCCTGCCACGGGCCCTGGCAGCTCAGCTGGCAGTAGGGCTCCTGTGGCTCGGCCAGGGAGACAGGGAAGGGAGCCACGAAGCCACAGAAAGTGGGGGATGTGTGTATGTGTAGTGTGTGTGTGCTGTGTTATGTGTGATGTACGTGGCGTGCGCTCTGTGCACACAGGTGTGTGTAGCTTATGTGCTGTGGTGTGCATGCTGTGTTATGTAGGTAGTATGCACTCAGGTGTGTGTCAGTGTGTGTGTGTGGCATACATGCTGTGTGTGTTACATGTGATGTATGTGGTATGGGTTGTGTGTGATCTGTGTGTCTGTAGTATGTGCGTACTGTGGTATGTGTGTTGTCTGCAGTGTGTGTTACGTGTGATTTGTGTGTGTGCTCTGTGCACAGGTGTGCGTGCGTGTAGACATGTGTACCTGCTCATGGCAGGAGCTCTAACCCAGGCTGGTGTCACCCAACCTAGACAGCGCCCTTCCATGCGAGGGGCCATCCAGGACTGTGCGGGGTCAGGTGTAGGGGCAACCTTGGGGACCCGGATCTGGTCATTCCCCACCCTATTGAAAACATCCCCAGGCTCCCTGGACAAAATCCTAGAACATGCTCCAAATCAATGGCAGTGGAAAGAGCGGCTCTTGCGGGCGAGCCGGCATTCGCGGTCTCTGGGCAGGTTTCCCTGCGTCCGGGCGGCAGATTGTTTGAACTTGCTATGGGTTACACACTTGTGCTCCTGGCCAAATACCTCACGTGTGTGCCCCTGCATCGCTGGTATTTATTGCTATAAGGTATCGGATGAAATTAGCACTGTAAAATTCTACAGTCTTAACAACGATAATGGAATTCGCGTTAGAAATTCTCACCCACGCGGGAGCCGCCGGGAAGTGGTGACAAGAGCAGGCACTGGAGCAGAACCAGGGCTCTGTGTCCCCTTTCCCTTCCTCTCTGGTTGCTCTTAGGTCTACCCCAGCCCCCTCCCATCACAGGACTCTGGAGACCCTGGGCCAGCACAGGCTGCCCCTGTGCACAGCGCCCCCAGCACTGGAGCCATCCAGCTCCTGTGCCTTCTTAGGCGGATTACCTGCCCCACCCCCACTGCTGAGGCTGCTAATCCCGGGCTTCCTGGGCTGCTGTTTACTGAGACCCCCTCTGACCTCTGGTCCTCTCCCTGCCCCATCCATTCAGAAAACCAAGGCTCAGGGTTTAGGGACCTTCCCAAGGTCACAGGCTCAGAAGTGGCAGGTCTGCCTCATGCCTGTCTCTAGGGTTGACCCCCATGTCCTGAGGCCACCCCTTGACACAGGGAGGGGGACAAGCCTCAGAGAGGCTGTGCCTTATCCAGAATCCCCCAGCACACCAGGCGAGAACCAGACTCCAGAGACCCCCATAGTGCAGAGCCCCTCCTGCCTGGTTCATTTCCTCCTTGTCCGGAGATGAGGGCTGGGCAGGTCCTGGGAGGCTTCCTGGAGGGGGCATGCAGGGTCGAAGCTGCAGCCCAAACTAGGGGGCGTTCCAGGAACACTGAGTGCCTGGCCTACCCCTCAGGCCCGGGGCAGCTGCTGGGAGGGCTGGGGGGGGGGGGGGGGGGGGCGCGGCACAGCCCCTCCCACTGCCGCTGTCTGCCCGTCCTCCCAGGGTGCCGAGACCAGGAAGCGCTCGCCCACACTCAGCAGCCAGTTCAAGCGCTCGCTGGAGCTGCTGATGCGCACGCTGGGCGCCTGCCAGCCCTTCTTCGTGCGCTGCATCAAGCCCAATGAGTTCAAGAAGCCCATGGTGAGTGGCTGTCCGGGGCGGGGGGGATGGGGGCTCCCCTGAGCGGGCGGATAATACAGAGCCCGCGATTGCCTGGAGGCAGCAGGTGCGCGGGAAAGAGCCTCGACTCGGCAGGGCTCGGTGCAGGCTCCCAGCCTTGCCGATGGCCAACCTGCCGGGTGACGGTGGGCAAGTCACTTGCTCTTCTGACGCGGGCCCCTCAGGCCTCCCTCCCGGGATGTTTTGTGCGGTCACACCTGCACACCATCTGAGACCTCGAGTGCGCGGTAAATGGCAGTCATGATTCTGGCTGTGGCCCCTCTTCTCCTTTAGCCCGGCTCTACCCCTGCCTCCTCTGGGAAGCCTCCTGGGATTGCTCTGAGTCCTTGGGCATGTCCTCGTTTGTTGAGCCCTCTCTGTGTGCTGGGCACAGGCGGGACGGTCCACAGCCTCAGTGAACCTTTGCACATTACCCGTGAGGGAGGCGCTGTGGTGGGGACCCTGGAGCGCAGAGGCTACAGTCGGGGAAGCTAAGGGGCCCTCTCCGTGCGTTTGTCCCCAGCACAGGCTGTGGGAGGTGTTGTGTGCCCAGAGGCCTGCAGGGTGGCCCCGGGAGAAGCCAGGGGTCCAGGGAGGGAAGGAAGGAAGGAAGGAGGCCGGGGAAAGTGGAGCAGAGTGAGAGGAAACAGGCTGCGGAAGCCGGCTGTCCACACGCGCCCTCCCGCCCGCCGTCCCCTGCCAGGAAAACGTTCCCGGAGTGGGGGAGCCTGTTTACCCAGGCCTCGGACCTGGAGCAGCCGGAGAACCTCAGGGGGCCTCGGCTGCTGTCCCTCTCGTGCGGGGGCTGCAGGCGGGCGGAGGCTGTCTCCCCTGCTCTGAGATCTGAGATCGCTCCGGAACCCCCTCTCTCGGCCCAGACCGCAGCATCTGTGGTCCGGGCTTTGGTGGTGGCATCTCTACAGTCTCCTGTCTCCCCTCTTGTCCCTCCCCATGCTGGTGACATCATTCTCGGATGCAGAGCTGACCTGGTCTTGCCCTGACCCATAGCTTCTCCTATTCCTGTCTCCCTGGGCTGGGCACCCTTTTGGCCTCCAAGGCCCTACAGCCCGGCACCTGCCCTCTGCTGTCTTTTACATGCGCCCTGGAGGCTGGCCCTGCCCTGCAGCCAGCCAAAAACACTGCGAGAGCAGCCAGGACAGGGTCTCTGCACAGGAGTTGACCCACGGCTGGCTCCCCCATGCTCCCCAGGCACACAGCTCTGCCACCGGGAGGTCCTCCTGTCGTTCTGCTGTGTGGCTTTGGCCTCTTTGGGTTTTTGTCTGGGGCTGGTCCCTTGTAGAGCAGGCCTGGCTTCCCAGCAGGAGCCTGGGCCCTGACGTGCTTGGCTCTGTGACCGGCAGCTGTTTGACAGACACCTGTGCGTGCGCCAGCTGCGCTACTCGGGCATGATGGAGACCATCCGGATCCGCCGGGCCGGCTACCCCATCCGCTACAGCTTCGTGGAGTTCGTGGAGCGCTATCGTGTGCTGCTGCCTGGCGTGAAGCCGGCCTACAAGCAGGTGCCCCCAGGCGCAGAGACAGCAGGGCAGGCTCCTGGGGACAGTGGGCTGGCCACGACACCTGCTCAGCCTCTCAGGTGCTGCCTGGGAGACAGGGGGCCGAGCTGCAGGACCCCTCCAGAGGCTCCTCCCACATAGGGGTTGGGGGTGAGGCGAGGAGTCACCCGGATGAAGTAAGGACAGAGTGGGGCGGTGGGGGGGGGCAAGGGGAGGGCTCACCAGGGTCAGTGAAGCAGGAGCAGAGCTGGTGCGGGGGTCCCATCTCCTGGCCTTCAGAGGGACACCTGGGGGCTTCCCGTGGATGAGGCCACCCGTGCCCTTGTGTCCCTGCAGGGCGACCTCCGGGGGACATGCCAGCGCATGGCTGAAGCCGTGCTGGGCACCCACGATGATTGGCAGATCGGCAAGACCAAGATCTTCCTGAAGGTGAGCGCAGCCTCCGGCCCCGGCTGCTGGGGGCTGTGAGCGTCGTCACTGCTTGGGGGGCAGGGAGCTGGGGCAGCAGAAGGGTCCCGTGCTCCTTCCTGCTGGCCTCTGGGGGCGGGGGGAGCTTGGCATCAGAGACCATGTTGACCTGGGGAGGGGCCACAGCACTGGCCGTGGGTTAGAGACGGAAGCTCAAGGTGGGCTGTCCCAGGCCCCCCGCAGGGAGGCCTGCGCTGAAATCCCACAGGTCCCTGCGACGTGTGACGGGCAGGCCACTGGCCCTTTCTGGGCCTCCTCTCTTACCATCTGTGAAATGGGCTGGGCCGGAGTGGGGCAGCTGGAGTATGTCAGCTCCCTTCCTGTGGCTTCCTGCCAGGCCGCTGTCAGCGGGGTCCCACTGTCCCTCCTCTGTCCTGGCCGCCCTGAGCTGGGAGAGGGGAGCAGGAAGCTGGGCGGCAGGGAGTCACGGCCTTGGACAGCTCGCTGGAAGCTGTGGTGGCGGGGCAGCTGCGGCGGGGACAGTGTGGACTTCCCTGTTTCCATTTCCGCTGTGCTAGATTTCTGGCTGTGCGGTGGGGGCAGGGCAGGGCTGGGCTCTGGTGTGGGGGTGGGGCGGGGCACAGCTGGGAGGAGAGGGAAAGGAGGACCAGCCCCCAACCCAAGGGGTCCGGGCTCCAGGCTACCTCCCCTCTGCCTCTCTGCCAGTCTCATGGAGCCCTGCTTTCTCACTGGAAGAAGCGCCATACATGTCTGTGTGGCAGCCCCCCACCCCAGCCAGGGGCCTTGCCTCCGTGAGCCCCCACCCCCCAGCCAGGGCCTCGCCTCTGTGAGCCCCCACCCCCACCCCAGCCAGGGCCTTGCCTCTGTGAGCCCCCACCCCCACCCCAGCCAGGGCTTCGCCTCTGTGAGCCCCCACCCCCATCCCAGCCTGAGGTAGCAGGTGTTGTGCCCCTGGACAGGCGTGGAGGCAGGGAGCCACCTGGCCTGGGCCGCCTGGGCAGAGGGCAGGCAGGGGCCAGTCAGGCACTGGGTGCCAGGATCCCTGAGGGAGCGCATCACCCTGCCCGCCCACTCTGGCTCTTCAGAACTGGGCCATGGTCCCAGGCTCACTCATTCATTCAGAAAGCCCGGGCTGAGCCGCTGTGGGCACCGGGCGGACGGCTTCCTCCCCGGTGAAACCCTAGGCTCTCCGAGGGAGGGCAAGGGGCTGCCTACAGGAGTCTGCTGCTGGCCCCTGGAGAAGTGTTGCCCCTCTGCACTAATGATTAGGGCTGGGGGGCTGGGAAGTCTGTGGGCCCGGATCGTGCAGGGCCTTGAGTGCCAGGGCAAGCAGCCCAGGCTGGACCAGAAACCGTTCCGAGTGGCTGTGAGGTTGGTTTGTGGGACAGACCCTCCGGCTGGGGTGCAGGGGAACCAGGGGGATTTCCAAGGAGGCTGTGCCGAGATTCTGCAGAGAAAGGCAGTGGCCTGGCCCAGGTCTGCGGCTGTGGGAGGCTGCCCGCTGCATGGGAGCCCTGGGCCTGGGCGCCGGGTGAGGGAGGAGAGGCCTTGCGGGGGCAGAGCCCGGGGGCCCTGGGTGGGGTAGACCTGGGTGGGCCGCTGCTCAGGAGCTCCGCCTTCCAGGACCACCACGACATGCTGCTGGAGGTGGAGCGGGACAAGGCCATCACCGACAGAGTCATCCTGCTCCAGAAGGTGATCCGGGGCTTCAAGGACAGGTGCGTGCCTCCGCCCACAGGGGTGCGCATGCCTGTGCGCATGTGCCGGTCGCGCCTTTGCCCCGCTGCGAGAACACTGGAAGTAGACACGTGCAGCCACGAGCAGCATCCGCACCGCCTGGCACACACGGAGGAACGCGCATACACGCCTAACACCGACCTGCTGCGCCGTGTGAGCCGAGCATCGGCGTGCGCCAGACACACAGGGCCACTCTCGGTTCACCTCGGGCCGATGAACTCCCCAGAGAGGAAATCAGATTGTATACATCACAGTTTGTTCTGTGGTCTATGGAAGGGACACAGTACATCTGTGATGATTCATAAATGGGAGGGTTGCAGAGTGTGACGCGGGCGCCAGCCCCTCCGGCGGGTTAGCCTGTCGCCCCGCCCCTCCACCGCGGCTCGCGGGCCGATGCGTGCGTGCCCCGCCTCTCACAGGCACCCCGAAGTGTCCCTCCTTCACCCCCTCTTTCCTCTGACCTGCTGTGACTGACCCCGCTGTGTGGTGTGAGGTCGAACGTGCCTGTTATGCTGGAGAAGCAGCCTACTGTGTGCAGGGGAGCAGCACTGCCCTCACGCGGTGCCCGTGGGTCACTCGGGGCTCCACTCCCAACCTCAGCAAGTCTCCGTTTCCTGCCCTGCAGAATGAGGAAGTCAGACCGCCCAGAGGTTTTCATCGTTGGTGGCACTCGCCTTACCCATTTGCACACACGGCTTTATTCAACAAATACCTTTGGAAGGTCTCCCTTAAGGAGCTATGTGTGTGGCGAGGCTGTGCATCAGGCGTTAGTCTACCCATCTCACAGATGGGGAAGCTGAGGCGCAGTGCCTTGCCCGAGATCACTCAGCCCAGGAGTCACAAAGCTGGGACTCAGGGAGCCCGTGGCCTCCCAAGCCTGCCTGTCTACCGGCTGCCTGAGGGCACAGCTCTGCCTCTCACCTGCATCGCGACCGCTGTTGCAGGTCCAACTTCCTGAAGCTGAAGAACGCGGCCACGCTCATCCAGAGACACTGGCGAGGCCACACCTGCCGGAGGAACTACGAGCTGGTGAGCCTCGCCTGAGCTCCTCCCCACGCCAGGCCTTCGGACCCGGTCTTGTTGCCGGGGCAGCAGCCTAGCCAGACCCGGGGTGGTCTCCTGCCACTGCCCCCGCTGGCCCCTACCTCCCGCCAGCCCACAGTCCAGCTCTGGCTCCTGTGGCTCGCTGTGCTTCTGGAATGTGTTGGTGGGTCCTGGACAGACCGGGGCTCTGAGGGGACCCAGGGGGGCTGCGAGGGCCGGCTCCCCTGGGCCTCTGCAGAGCAGCTGGGCTACAACCCGGCGTGGGGGTGTGCAGGAGGGGGAGCAGTGGACTGCAGCTCCCGGCCTGTGCCGAGCTCCTACAGGGGCTGCCCCCGAGGGAAAGGCTTTGCTCTGGAGAAGACAGCAGATTAAGGGGGAGGGCATCAGAGGGAGACCGAGCTGCACCTTAGGGACGCCAGCGCCGGAGCCCCTGCAGGTGCGGAGAGTCTGCGGGGAGGGTGATGGGCTCTGAGCACGCGCCGCTGTCCCTGCAGATGCGCCTGGGCTTCCTGCGGCTGCAGGCCCTGCACCGCGCCCGGAAGCTGCAGCAGCAGTACCACCTGGCGCGCCGGCGCATCATCCAGTTCCAGGCCCGCTGCCGCGCCTACCTGGTGCGCAAGGCCTTCCGCCACCGCCTCTGGGCTGTGCTCACCGTGCAGGCCTACGCCCGGGGCATGATCGCCCGCAGGCTGCATCGGCGTCTCAGGGCCGAGGTGAGGGGCCGAGCGTGGGAGGGGAGCGGGGTCACCCCGGCTTGGGCCTGCTCTGGGGAAGCCTCAAGCCAGGCAGAGGCACCCTCTGGGCCTCCCCAGCGCTCCAGGAGTCTTTGGGAGGCCAAGGGGAGCCCCTCTGGCTTTGCGGTCAACAGGCAGTGAGACTGTCTGGAACTTGGGGTGGGGCCGGCGGAGGGGGGTGGAGCCCTGTGACATCCAAGCGGCCCTTTTCCCTAGTACCTGCGACGCCTCGAGGCCGAGAAGATGCGGCTGGCGGAGGAGGAGAAGCTGCGGAAGGAGATGAGTGCCAAGAGGGCCAAGGAGGAGGCAGAACGCAAGCACCAGGTGAGCCCCCTCGCGCCCACTGCGCTGCACCTGCCTGTGCCTAGTCGCCCAGGTGTCCACCCAGACCTGCTCCCAGGGGCCTGGGCCGGCCCTGCAGGCAGGACGAGTGCGCGGCTGCAGGCCGAGAGGAGCCAGGCCCCCTGACATGGCTTCCCACTGGGGGATGACGCCCAGATCGGAGGCCTCAGCTTGGGGAGAGGACCCAAGGGCTGCCCTGCCCTGGCTACTGAATCCACGAAACGTGGCTCATCCAGGCGACGGACGCAGTCCTCTAAGTGTAAGATGCGCGCTGGGGTTTGAAGACTGCTGGGCCAACAGAGCATCAGAAACATCAGTGTTTTATCATAATATTACTTACATGTTAAAATAGCGTTTGGGAAATGATGAGCTAAAATATACCACTGGGGCGGGCGTTTAGCCCGGATGTCTGTTGAGGTGCCCGCATCCCACATTGCAATGCCCGGGTTTGATGCTCTACTCCAGCTCCCGACCGCAGCTTCCCTTCAGAGGCCACTCTGGGAGGCGACAGTGACGGCGCAAGCACTTGAGTCCCTCCCACCCATGTAGGAGACCCAGAGTGAGTTCCAAGCTCCTGGCTTTGACCTTGGCCTGCGGCTGTTGAGAACAGAGGGAAGCAATCTCTCTCTGTCTCTCAAATAACTAATGTTTAAAAAGTCAGTCACCAAAGTTAACCTCGTCCGTTGCTTTTTGCTCTTTAGTGCGTGGCTTATATCCTGTTTCTACTGGGTAATGCTGGTGTAGCGCCTCGAGCTCACAGCTGTGGGCCTGGGGAGTGTAGAGGGCAGGCTTCCTGGAGGAGGTGGCTCCCAGCTGAGCCCTGAAGGGCAGGCAGGCTCCCTGTGGCCCAGAGATGCTGGACACCCATGTGATTGGGCTGCGAAGGCCAAGCTGAGTGTGGCCCAAGGCGGGGACGTGCAGAGCCTGGTTCCGCAGGGCCCAGTGGAGTTGGGACTGAGGCCCTGGCTGCCGCAGGGGTGCTCTTGGGCGCCCCGGGAAGGCCTGTGCCCCGAGGCTGTGGCACCGGCTGCTGCCCTGGCTCCTCTGTACCCCCGCCTCCAGGAGCGCCTGGCTCAGCTGGCGCGGGAGGACGCTGAGCGGGAGCTGAGGGAGAAGGAGGAGGCCCGGAGGAAGAAGGAGCTCCTGGAGCAGACGGAGAGGGCCCGGCACGAGCCCGTCAATCACTCGGACATGGTGGACAAGATGTTCGGCTTCCTGGGGACGTCGGGCGGCCTGCCAGGCCAGGAGGGCCAGGCGCCCAGTGGCTTTGAGGTACCAGGCTGCAGGCCGGGTTCCCTGTGCACCCCCGTGTGACGAGCGCCCCCTCCTTGGTGGCCCTTTGCACTAAGTCCACCCAGAGCCCGAGATCTAAAACGGGGCTGGGGGCCACAGGCCGTTGTGTGACCTTGGGGCATCACCGTCCCTTCCCAAGGCCCCTCTCAACCGTGAGCCGTTCACCGCCTGAGCACCTGCCGTGGCCTGGGCCTGCCTGGCGGAGGGCAGGACAGCATCCTGGAGGAAGAGCTGCCCCTGCACGCTCAGGCTGGGAGCAGCAGTCCTGCCCCGAGTCCGCCCCAGGCCCCCTCGCCTGCCGGGCCAGGCCCCGTGGCAGGAAACCGTCTGTGTCCGCCAGGACCTGGAGCGAGGGCGGCGGACGATGGTGGAGGAGGACGTGGACGCGGCCCTGCCCCTGCCTGACGAGGACGAGGAGGACCTCTCCGAGTACAAGTTTGCCAAGTTCGCCGCCACCTACTTCCAGGGCACAGCCACGCACTCCTACACCCGGCGGCCGCTCAAACAGCCGCTGCTCTTCCACGATGACGAGGGCGACCAGCTGGTGAGGCTGCCTCGAGGGTCCCTGCTGTCGGGCGGCGGCGGTGGACGCCGGGGTGCTGGGTCCTGGCGGGCAGGCTGTGGGTCTTGCTGTGATCCTCACCCTGGCACCCAGCCATGACCATGACCGTGACCGTGTGGGAGGCCTTTCTGCAGCCAGCCTCTCCCCACCCCCCAACCTGATTTGAGGGCCGCAGCGCCTCTGTCTGTCTGACCTTCTGATCAGCGCACCCTGTCCCCAGGCAGCCCTGGCGGTCTGGGTCACCGTGCTGCGCTTCATGGGGGACCTGCCTGAGCCCAAGTACCACACGGCCATGAGCGACGGCAGCGAGAAGATCCCCGTGATGACCAAGATTTACGAGACCCTGGGCAGGAAGACGTATAAGAGGGAGCTGCAGGCCCTGCAGGGCGAGGGCGAGGTGAGGCCCAAGTCCCAGCCCACAGCCCCCAGGCCAAGGCGGCGGCTCTGCCGGCAGAGGGTGCTGTGGTCCACCTATGCCTTGGCACCCCCAGCCCTCCCCCGAGTGCGTGGACTTTTTGCAAGCTGTGAGGTGTCCACCAAAACGGAGGGGCGGCGTGGCGCAGCAGGCAGGGGCGGCTTCCATATTGCCTCACTCCTCGGGAGGCCTCGGGCAGCTCACTATGCCGCTCAGAGTCTGTTTTCCCATCTGCCAGTGGGTGGGGCGGGGTGGCGTGACAGTGGCTCCCTGGGACTTAGCGAGCAGGCATGCTGGCCCCTGGCTCCTGCCACTCACCTGCCCTGAATCTTGGTGCCGCAGGCCCCGCTCCCCGAGGGGCAGAAGAAGAGCAGCAGTGTGAGACACAAGCTGGTGCACTTGACCCTGAAGAAGAAGTCCAAACTCACCGAGGAGGTGAGAGCAGACTGGGGGCCGGCGGCCCGGGGGGCCAGGCCAGGGGCTGGATACACGGAGGACCTCAGGGGCAGCAGTGGACCTCAGGGCTCCCTGCTGACGGGGGACAGGAGAGCGTGGCGGGGTGGCAGGCAGGAGTGAGAGAAGAGAGCTGGGGTCAGGAGGGCTTCCCAGAGGACGGCGCCTACAGCGGTGAGAGGGAGGAGTGGCGTGGGGGCAGTGGAAGTTGGGGATCTCAGAGGGACACAGACGGAGGCCCCCACGTTCGCGCTCACCAGCCCCTCTGCCTGAATCCTGCCTTGCTCTCTCTCTGCCTGGGGTTCAGCCCTATTTTTTTTTTTAACTCAATGGTAATATTCTTTTTGTTTTATAATAGCCACACGTTACATCATGTCTTCTGCTCAGAACGCACCAAGGGCTGTCCATTTCCCTCAACGTAAAATCCGCAGTGCTTACGGGGCCTTTCAAGATACGGCCCTCTGTTGTCTGATTTCCTGTCCCGTGAGCCAGCTCCTTGCACACAATTTTCTGACTTCCCTGATAGGCTTAGACACACCATGAACTCTCATCGCAGGGCTGCTGCTCTGTTTCCCTGGCTCTGCCTCTGTCCCCACCTAGGTGCAAATCCAGCCTTGCAGCTGTGTGGCCTCGGATTTGAATCCCAGCTCTCAGTATCTGAGGCTCCCGGAGGCAGACGATGCCCACTCCACGGGGGTCTGGGGGAGGGTGCAGGATGGCAGCTGTGGTGCCGGAGAGGCGGGAGCCCTCCTATGGCGCTGCCCGCAGGGCGCACTCTCACTAGCCCTGCATCTCCCAGGCAGAGCAGCGGCGGGGGTATGTGGTGCGGAGGAGCTTCAGCCACTGACTGAGGTGGCGCCCGGCTATTGCGCCCCACGTGGGGTCTGCACAGTTGCGGGTGATGACTGTGGCAGCGCTTGGTGCACTTTGGAGCCCAGCTCTCTGCCTCCTGGGCTTCTGCTCTCTGTGGAGCGGGCAGACTTGAGTCCGGGGACCATAGCTGCAGAGGGAGCGCCCCGCACTCCATCTGCCCAGTCAAGCCCGCCCCTGCCTGTGGCGCAGGTGACCAAGAGGCTGCACGACGGGGAGCCCACGGTGCGCGGCAACAGCATGCTGGAGGACCGGCCCACCTCCAACCTGGAGAAGCTGCACTTCATCATCGGCAATGGCCTCCTGCGGCCGGCGCTCCGGTCAGTGCCAAGGGCGGGTGCAGAGCGGGCCTCGGCACCAGGGCTCTCCGCTTCCGGGGCGGGGCCTGAAAGCTGTCAGTGGCTGAGCGGTGGCGCCATCACCTTCACAACAGATTAATCTGAACAGGGATGGTTTGGCTCTACTGGGAGCTGAGCTGGTTAGATGACCTTGGCTGAACCCTTTCCCCTCCCTCCACCTCCATTTCCTTGTCTGGAAAGGGGTGGCGTTGGTGGTGGCTACCCCTTGGGATGTGGGAAGGTAAAACCCAGAGCTGGGCGTAACACATGAACTGGCTCCCAGTGGGCAGACAGCAGTCGAATCACATCTCCTGCTCTGTCACTGTGGTCACCAGCTCACTGGAGCAGTCCAGTTGTCACTGCTGAGAGCACATGACAGGTCTGTTAGGAGAGCTGAACCCACGTCCTTGTGTGGGCTGCTGGGAGGATGGCAGAGGGCTTCCTTTCCCTGATGGAAAAGCTGAGCTGCAAAGTGGGGAAGAAGTGCCTTGGGCACCGGGCCTCCCAGCCCTCCTGCCTTCCAGCTGGGCCTCCTTCCACTGCTCCCTTCCCATTGTCGCCACCCAGCTGGCACTTGTAGGAGCACAGGGCTGGGAGCCAGAGGCTAGGGTGTTGCCTCCCCGAGGGACCACAGCCAGTCTCTCCTTTCTCTCAGCCTCCGGCTGCCCAGCGGCATCTCACTGGTGTAGCCGGGAGATGGAAAAACGCTTCCCAGCTGAATTCCTTTTACTCCAGGGCAGCTTTTTGCTCTGGGTGTTTGGGCTTCTTGCTTTCTGGATATGAAAATTACTTGCTTTATGAAATGATGGGGGAGAGTGGGCAGAGTGTGTGTGTTTTAAATATTCTGAGTTTTGTCATAAGTTGACAACCTCCAGACTCGCTTAGAAATTGTCCCACAAAGTCTCAAAACTGGGGAGCCAGTGAAGTGGATCGTCCCTCCTTCCCCTAGGGAGGAGGGTGTGGCAGTGCCCCCTGGTGGTCACTGCATCCTCATGGCGATGCCTGGCAACAAACACAACAGCTGCAGCCGGTATTCTTTTTAAGATCTATTTATTAATCTGAAGGAAGAGTTACAGACAGGTACAGGCAGAGAGAAAGAGAGAGAGAGGGAGGGAGGTCTTCCATCCGATGGTTCACTCTCCAGATGGCCGCAATGGCTGGAGCTACACTGATCTGAAGCCAGGAGCCAGGAGCTTCTTCTGGGTCTCCCATGTGGGTGCAGGGGCCCAAGGACTTGGGCCATCTTCTACTGCTTTCCCAGGCCATAGCAGAGGGCTGGATGGGAAGTGGACTCGAACTGGCACCCATATGGGATGCCAGCACTGCAGGTGGCAGCTTTACCCACTATGCCAGAGCACCGCCCCATGCAGCCAGTATGCTTGAAGGTTTGCTGTGCTAGGTGCTGCATACATGTTGGCTCATTTTTCTTTCATGGTAATGATGTAAAGAGCCCTTTAAAATTAATATGAAACAAAAGATTACCTTCATTGCTGCCATTTCATGACAGAATTAATACTCAGCCACTGAAGTATTCCAGTGTTACAGAAACAAGCCAAGAGGCAGAGCCCCTCCTGGTCCCACCCCCAGAGACACTCCTGGATGCTTTTCTCATCTCTGCTTTTCCAGCTGCAATCAGTAGACACTGCACTTGCTGCCCTTACTGTGGGCTGGGGTCAGAGACGTTCGCTCGCCTGGGCCACCCAGCCGGTCAGGGCTGAGACAGGGACAAGCCTGTGCTTCTCCTCAGTGTGGTCACCAGTGGCTGCAGCCATTGTGCCCAGAGCAGGACACATGCCACCCTCTGGGTGTTGGGGCCCTGGCCTTGGAATCTGCCCTGGGGTTAGGAAGGGGCTTCCTCTCTCTAAAGCAAGATCCTCCTTTGAGGCTCAGCCTGCCCCCGCTGGACCCCACCGGGCCCCACCGGGCCCCACCCTGCCGCCTCCTGAGTGGTCTCAGGCATGCTGGCGAGGACAGCTGTGCCCCGCCACGCCTGCTGCAGGGAACAGCAGAGCCGGCCGCTGCTCTCATGGCTGCTCCTGCCTTCCTTGCCCTGCTGCCCAGGGATGAGATCTACTGCCAGCTCAGCAAGCAGCTCACCCACAACCCCTCCAAGAGCAGCTACGCCCGGGGCTGGATCCTCGTGTCTCTGTGTGTCGGCTGCTTCGCCCCCTCTGAGAAGTTCGTGAAGGTAAGGGAGGCACCTGGGTAGGGCTGGGAAGGGGCGGGAGGACAGGCACCTGCTAATGGAAAGAGTGCTCATCTCTCAGGCCTGGCCATCTCCTGTTGGCCACTTCCTCCCGGCACCTCTGCCCGGCCACCACTGGCGCCATGCCTCAGGAGGAGGCTGGGTCTGGGCCCCCTGCACATGTGACCTGGGGCAGGTGGTCCAGTTCCTCCTGGGTGTTGAGGACACTGAGGCAGAGCAGAGCTGACCTGAGTGGTGGGTGCTGTGAGGGTGGAGGCGGAGGGGCAGCCAAGCCAGGGGAGCACTGTGGGGGGAGGTGCTGCTGAGACCCAGGGGGGTGGATTGTGGTGGCCTTGCCACTAAGCCAATGGGAGCCACAGAAAGCAAAGGCGGGATGTGGGCGGAGGCCTCGGGGGAGGCCCAGGGAGTGGGTGGGGCTGTCTCATGGGTCCCTGTCTGCAGTACCTGCGGAACTTCATCCACGGGGGGCCGCCCGGCTATGCCCCGTACTGTGAGGAGCGCCTGAGGAGGACTTTTGTCAACGGGACGCGCACACAGCCACCCAGCTGGCTGGAGCTGCAGGTGTGTGCCTACGTGCTTTGTGTGTGTGTATGTGTGCATGTGCATGCGTGTACACATGCATGCCTGGTGTACTCCTATGCCCCAGAAACATTCCCTGCCCTGGGCCTCCGGGATTCCTCAAGTGTCTGTTCTCACGTTGAGGGATCCCAGGCCCTGGGAACCAGAAGGCCTCCCAAGCATGGTTGATGAGACCTGGGCGGGGTAGGGTGTTCCTTATGCATCTCATGGTCCCTTTGGGGTGGGCCACACAGCAAGGAGCTACGAAGGCACTTGAGGCAGGGACAGGCAATTTCCCAGTTTGATGCTAGGGACTCAGGTTCAGGGACAGAAGCAAACCCACTGGAAGCCAGTGCCCAGAGAGCTGGCCTCAAGTGGAGGGACCCCACACACACCACGTTGGGTTACTCTCAGGCCACCAAGTCCAAGAAGCCCATCATGCTGCCCGTGACATTCATGGACGGGACCACCAAGACCCTGCTGACAGACTCGGCGACCACAGCCCGGGAGCTGTGCAATGCGCTGGCCGACAAGATCTCACTGAAGGACCGCTTCGGGTTCTCCCTCTACATCGCCCTGTTTGATAAGGTGCGGCAGCCCCATAGCGCCTCCTCCTGGTCCCACGCAGGCTTGGCCCTCAGGCTCCCATCCCGGCGCTGGCAGCTCCTGGCTTGGGTGACCTGCCAGGGAGCCTCAGTTCCTCTTTCAGCTGGGCTCTGAGGGAGCCTCGGGCCCATAGAGAGTGGAACCCAGAGCATTCCTCTGTCCAGTTTGCCCAGGGCCCAAGAAAGAACGTGACAGGTGGATGGGAGAGGCAGCTTTGTTCCGGGCCAGTGGGATTTCGCTGTTTGGCTGGGATGTGTGGAGAGCAACCAGGCTGCAGTGGTTGTTCCTTTCACTCTTCCTCATGCAGCTTGAGTTTGAGCATCCCCTGGACACACACTGGGGACCAGAGCTTTCCCTGCTCAGCCGAGCCTGAGGGTATTCCCAGCCCCAGCACAAGCACGGGCACCCCCACCCAGCACGTCCAGAGACGGAACCACAGTGCTGGCATGGTTTGCCTGGATCTTCCTTACCTGTAGAGACCATCTGCATTTTCAGTGACAACCTGTCAGTTTCTCAAAAAGCTTGCGCTAGGAACAGGGAACTCCCTCAAAACTGCCCCAAGCTGAGGCTAGAAAGATGATACATGGGTGTGCCAGCTCAGAGCCCATGGCTGGGACCACAGGCCCCGATCCTGTATGTGTCCTGGAGGCCTGAGGCTGTGTCCATGCCTCCAGAGCAGGTGGCAGAGCCCCTTGCAGCCCCTCCCCTCTGCTGGACCTGCTCCACTTGCCACAGGTGTCCTCGCTGGGCAGCGGCAGTGACCACGTCATGGATGCCATCTCTCAGTGTGAGCAGTATGCCAAGGAGCAAGGTGCCCAGGAGCGCAATGCACCCTGGAGGCTCTTCTTCCGCAAAGAGGTCTTCACACCCTGGCACAACCCTGCGGAAGACAACGTGGCCACAAACCTCATCTACCAGCAGGTGGTGCGCGGGGTCAAGTTTGGCGAGTACAGGTGTGAGAAGGTGAGTGAGAGCCAATGCTTGTCTTAGCTTGCTTGTTGTCCAAACATGGGCTGCAGGCTGCTGTAGCTCCTGGAGCGTGGCTGTCTTGTGGCTGGGCGTCTCCTGGCTCTCGCTGGACTTACCACTGCCTACCCAGGAGGCTCTGTGGGACCCCTGGCATTATACTAGCACCATCCGTTGCAGCAGAGTAGAGCTTCAGGACTCAGGGTATTGTCCTGAGTTAGCCCTGTAAACTGTGCTCTAACAAGAAAGAGACCTGTTGGTTCAGACCAGAGTTTTCAAACGTGGATCCTTTTATTACCACCTAAGAATGGGAACAATGAAATTGATGATGGGGGGAGGGATCGATGGTGCACACTGTGTGTGGTGGTGGTGATAACGATGGTATTGAGGGGTGGGTAAGCCACACTCCATCAGAATACATTAGTGCAGCCACCTAAGTAGCTACATTTCTGTGATACTTCTGATGAACTGGACAAATATGCTGCCTTCGGAGCTCTTCGAGAGAGCCTTTCTCTACAGCCCCAGGCAGGCATCCCTGGGGCTGCCGTGTGCCAGCCTAGGGGGAGAAGGGGCATGGGCCCAGGCCTACCAGGCTGTCCGAGCCTCCGCAGTAGCACCTGCTGGTGAGTAAATGCCGTGACCACCCGGCAGGTACACAGTGATGTGCCGGAGATGGCCACGGTTGGGGCCCTGCCCCTGGCCAGATTTCCACTTTGCAAGGCAGGCACTTCCTCTTCTCTGGCTTGTCTGTCCCAGATGGTGTGTCCCAGGCAGAGTCCAGCTCTCTGTCAGTGCTGGGGGGGAGGGGACCTGGAGAAGGGAAGGGGAGCTCACAGCGCCTCTGAGCAGGCAACAATTCTGTGGTGGATCAGCTGACAGGCCAGGGTCTGAGGACCAGGAGAGGGTCTGGGAGCTTCAGTGGTCTGCAAGGGGTTTGCTGAAGGGCCCGGACCATGTGTGCAACTGAAGCCCCTTCCCCCAGGAGGATGACCTGGCCGAGCTGGCCTCCCAGCAGTACTTCGTGGACTACGGCTCTGAGATGATCCTGGAGCGCCTCCTGAACCTCGTGCCCACCTACATCCCTGACCGCGAGATCACGCCGCTCAAGACGCTGGAGAAGTGGGCCCAGTTGGCCATTGCTGCCCACAAGAAGGTGAGGGGTTGGAAGAAAGCCAAGAACTTCAGTGTCCACCTGACACCTGTGTCCATGGGGCTGCCACGTGGTTGTTGGATGGAGCTCCTTCATTCTCTTCACCTCTACCCATCTCTGTCCTTGCCAGGGTATCTATGCCCAGAGGAGAACTGATGCCCAGAAGGTCAAAGAGGATGTGGTCAATTATGCCCGCTTCAAGTGGCCTTTGCTCTTCTCCAGGTTTTATGAAGCCTACAAATTCTCAGGTACTGCCTGGTCTCTAAGTCCCCCCCCCCTTCTCAGCCAGTGGGATTCCTGCCTGGGGGGCTGCTTGCCCCTTTCAGGTCCATGCTGCTGGAAGGTGCCTGCCTCCCCACAGTCCAGTAATGCCCTCATGGTGCACAGCAGTGCTCAGTGGTTCACTGGACTGAGTGAGGACTGGCAGCATTAAAGCACTGGCTGGGTATAGAAGACGGAGGCCACAGAGGGGTCTGCTCTGCTGGGCTCCGAAGCCAGAGTGGGTGTGGCAAGCACAAATCCACAAAGGCTATTTGTCCAGCCACCCTCGGGCCATCAGTGCTGAGCCTCTGCTCTGTGTCAGTCCCTATGCTGATGCTTGGATTCACGCAGTTGCCCACAGCAGGGCCAGAGGGAAGCTCGGGGCTTGTTTGTCCAGCCTTCCCCCCCTCCCCTCTTAGTGCAGGGCAGGGCAGGGACTCAAACTCCAGTTTCCAATTCAGAGCGCTCACCCCGCCGCATCTCAGGCTTAGCTTGTAGGGAGGCTGTGCGTGCTGAGCAGCAGTGTCCCTGTCTGGGGAACGGTGGATTTCCACAGTAGCCCCTTCCCTGCAGGCAGGCAGACTGGGAAGGGCTGGGGCCTGGGGGCAGAGACCTCCCTCTCAGTGCCCCATCCTGGTCCCAGGCCCCAGTCTCCCCAAGAACGACGTCATTGTGGCTGTCAACTGGACGGGTGTCTACTTCGTGGATGAGCAGGAGCAGGTGCTTCTGGAGCTGTCTTTCCCAGAGATCATGGCCGTGTCTAGCAGCAGGTATGCAGGGGCAGGTGGAGACACCGAGGGTGGGGTCTGGGGCTCTTCCGCAGGGCACAGGGGTGCTGAGGCACACGCTGGCCTGTCCTAGGCACATGCCCCTGATGGGTCTGTGCAGTACCATGCACATCCTCCTAATGGTGGAGGGAGGACTTGACAGAGGACTGGCAGGGGCAGGTGAGTGTATACAAACAGAGCTTGGCTCCAAAGTCAGGGGCTTGGGTGGGACTCGCCTCCATGTAATCTCTAAAATATGGTCTTAGGAGGTGAGGAATAAATGCCTAAGTGATGGGAGAATCCTCTGTAAACCCAGAAGTGGGGTACACCTATTGGGATGGTGGTGGTGGGTGCCCGGAATAAGCTGGTTTCCCAGCAGTGCAGTGGCTCCCACCCCTCATCCAAGGCTCGCAGGAGTGTCTCTGGGCTGCATCCTGTGTGGGTCAGGATTGAGCATCGTCCAGCTGTGATCAGGCATCTGGGATGCAGGAGTGAAAGGATAGTCCTTGCCCTCTTGAAGCGTCAGTCGAGAGGGGACAGATAGTGAACAGGCCACTTTAAAGCAGGGACAATGTGATGAGGGCCGGTGGAGGTGGGGAAGACTTCCTGGAGGAAGGGGCATAGAGAGGCAAAGGAGAAGTGGGCTGGGCTGCTGTGGGGCTCCCGCTGGACCACATCTCCCCGAGCGGGGCCGAATCTAACTCAGCGGGCCTTGGTGTCCTGCAGGGAATGCCGTGTCTTGCTCTCATTGGGCTGCTCTGATCTATGCTGTGCTGCACCTCATGTGCGCCAGGCAGGACTGATCCCGGCTGGGCCCTGTTCTCCGTGTTGGTCCTGCAGGGGAGCCAAACTGACCGCCCCAAGCTTCACACTGGCCACCATCAAGGGGGACGAGTACACTTTCACCTCCAGCAATGCCGAGGACATCCGTGACCTGGTGGTCACCTTCCTGGAGGGGCTCCGGCGGAGGTCTAAGTACGTGGTGGCCCTGCAGGACAACCCCAACCCTGGTGAGTGACTGCCAGCAGGGCTGCAGGCACGGCTAGGGGGCACTCAAGCTGCTCTCGCCACGTTCCCATCCTTGCCCGGGTGCTAGCTGAGGAGCAGGGCTTGTGCCTTTCCCATGGGCCCTGTGTCCTCCCTTCCCTCAGCCGTCAGTGAGGCCAGTGGTCAGCCTCAGTGTTCTCCACATCTCCATCTGCAGTTGACAGCAGCCGGAACAACCGCCCTGTGGCTCTGAGTCACTAGGCCCCTGGTCAAAGGAGGGAAAGACAAAGATGAACTGCCAGCTGCTCTGCCTTCAGTAGGGAGGGGGTCAAGAAAGAGCCAGTAGGGCCCTGGGGACAGCACAGGAGCAGGGACGCCTAGAAATCATGGGGGCTCAGCAGAGAGGTCTTCGTGGAGCTGGGGCCCAGGGAGGTGAAGTGTGAGTAAAGCCGGAGGGAGCCAACAGGTCCAGGAAGTGCACAGCTGGCACTGCCCAAAACAGGTGCGGTGAGGGAGGAGGAGGAGAGTGAGGGGCGGAGGGATCAGAGAGGCCCTCACAGCAGGCTTAGGAGCATGAGCGGCCCACTCAGGGGGCCGCGTCTGTGTGGAAGGCTGTGATAAGGTGAAGGCGGGTGGGCAGACATGAGTGGGACAGGGCCTGTTCTTCAGTGGGGAGTAACAGCTTACAGATCAACCCAATAATGTTCTCTTTCTATCCTCATGCGACCCCATCACCTCTGCATGGCAGCGGGGGAGGAATCAGGCTTCCTCAGCTTTGCCAAGGGAGACCTCATCATCCTGGACCATGACACCGGGGAGCAGGGCATGAACTCGGGCTGGGCCAGCGGTGTCAACGAGAGGACCAAGCAACGTGGGGACTTCCCCATGGATTGCGTGTATGTCATGCCCACCGTCACCATGCCACCACGGGAGATTGTGGTGCGTATGCTTTCTCCGCCCAGACCCGTTCAGATGCAGTGAGGGGCTGTGGCAGAGGAACGGTGTGCAGCTTCTGTGAGGATGAGCTAGGATCCTAGGGGACCACAGACCCAAGGTGGGGGCAGCTCCCAGACTTGTGTCAGGGGAGGAAGGAGAAAGGTGGCCTGGGGAGGGGCGTGTCCTGCCCTGGCTGCAGGGCCCCGGGCACTGTGGAGACCCAGGGAGCACAGCCCTGAGGCAGGCTCAGCTGAGCAGGCAGGCTGGGCCCAGCATGAGGAAGCTAGCAGTGACTTCAGAGAGCCTAGAGAAGGGAGAGGCTCCCAGAGTCAGACTAGGGCATGGGCTCCGCTCGACGGGCCATCTCCCTCAGCCTCATTCTGGAAGGTTCTGGGCCTCCTCATGTTGATCCCAGGTGGGGAGCTGACTTTAGTCCCCTGCCTCTCGGCCCCTAGGCCCTGGTCACTCTGACCCCTGACCAAAGGCAGGACGTTATCCGGCTCATGCAGCTGCGAACAGCAGAGCCTGAGGTGCGAGCCAAGCCCTACACGCTGGAGGAGTTCTCCTACGACTACTTCAGGTGACAGGCTCCTGGGGTGGACAGGGAAGGGGAGGGGCTACGGGACAGTGAACTACAGCCTCCTGCAGCTAGTTTTCTGGGAAGGTGCTACCTGCTAGGTGAGCCTCGGCAAGTTGTCTCACCCTTCCTGCCTTCATGTAAGAGATGGGGACTGCGCCCACCCCTAGGCAGGGCCTGGCTACTCAGGACCCACACCTGTGCCTGCTTCACCAACTCAGAAAGGTGGGAAGCCAGGCAGGAAACAGGCAGCTGCAATGCCACTTACCTAGTCTAAAGAGGATGCTGTGGTGAGGGGCAGGGCAGAGGCTGCTTGGAGGAGGTGGCACGTGCACATCACAGGTCATACAGCAAGGCAGGGCCTGTTCTCTGTCCTCAGCCTGCAGGCACAGGGTGGGTAGGGGTTCTCCCCCAGGGCTGCCTGCAGTTGGGTCAGTGTTGACTGTCTCTGTGCTGTGGCAGGCCCCCACCCAAGCACACGCTGAGCCGTGTCATGGTGTCCAAGGCCCGTGGCAAGGATCGGCTGTGGAGCCACACACGGGAACCACTCAAGCAGGCGCTGCTCAAGAAGATCCTGGGCAACGAGGAGCTCTCGCAGGAGGCCTGCATGGCCTTCATCGATATCCACACTGGTGGGGGTAGGGCCGGGGTGGGCCGGGGTTTCATTCGGACACCTCCTTCCCTCTCAGGGGGCCTGTCTGGTCTGCCACGTGCACAGCAGCTGCCTTGCCCACTCCCTCCCTTGATCCTGTCATTTGTTTGACACATATACTGTGCCTTGTGCTGGGCCAGGCACAGGGACACTGCCATGACCAGCCCTGGCCCCTGGCCTCATGGGGTGACATGTTGATGGGGATCAGTGCCAGCATGGTGAACTGACCCCACCTGGAGGAGGCAGCAAGGGCCTCCCAGGAAGTGGCTGAGGTCAGAGGCTGCAAAGAATGTTGCTAGGCCAAGGAGAGGGAGAGGGTTCCAGACGGAAACAGGTCTGCAGGGCCGTTTCAAGGGCACAGAGTAATCACGTAGCTGGTGGGCAGGTGTGGGACACAGAAGAGTCTCAAGCCCCAAGGCCAAAGGAGCCCCCTGTGGGAGTGGCATGGTCCCAGGAGTGATCTGGAATCCATCCAGGCTAGCATGAGGACTTGAGAGACAGGAGGCTGGGAGCCTGGGGCTGGTGCCTGGGAGGAGAAAGGATGGGTACTTTATGCCCATTTCATAAGTGAGTAGCCTGAGGCTCAGGGACCTACCCAGAGGCACATGTGTGAGGGGACGCAAACCCTGCCAGGGAGTGGGAGCCTCTGACCTCTGGTCTCAGGCTAGTACTCCCATGTGCCCCGCCCGAGCCCTTCCTTAACAACCTCTCACCTGTGCTCAAGTACATGGGTGACTACCCATCCAAGCGCACGCGCTCTGTCAACGAGCTCACTGACCAGATCTTTGAGGGTGCTCTGAAGGCCGAGCCCCTCAAGGACGAGGCATACGTGCAGATCCTGAAGCAGCTGACCGACAACCACATCCGGTGAGTGGGCGAGGTGGGCAGGTGGGTGAAGGGCTCCGTGTCCTCCTGTCCATGCAGCCTCCCAGGCCTTCCTCACACAGGAGGGAGCTGTTCTTGGCCCCTCTAATAGCTCAGCTTGGCCTTGAGGCCCAAGGACAGCCTGTCAGGAACACAGAGGTGGCAGCTGTGCCCCTTTGAGCCTGTTCAAGTTAAACAGCCCCAGTTCCTCTAGCTGGTCCTCCTGCCTAAGCTGCCGGGACTATCCCTGCCGGGCTCAGGCCCTGCTGACCATGTGCAGGGTCAACCCTGAAGCATCCCTCCCTGGCTCAGGCCGGGCTGACCATCACTTGAAAGCTCTGGTTGCAAATTCTCCTGTGTCAGGGGTGTTGGCCCCCAGTGTCCCTGCCTCCTCTCCAGGGGTCAGCCTGAGGCAGGCGTGGGAAGTCAGGACCCTGCTCATCTCAGAGAGTAGGAGAGAAGCCCGCCCTCTCCCCCGACACTCAGTTCCCAATTTCCTCCCCAGCTTGGTTACCCTGTACGTCTCTTTCACAAACTCACCAGGAACTACATTTCAGGGGTTTTCACAATGCCAAACCCTAGCATCCACCAGGCCCCCAGCCAGGATACACTTCCCTCCCGTCAGGAACACTGAACTCAGAGTGGTGCTTGCAGGAGCCCAGGGAAGCTGGTCTAACTCAGTGCTATTCAAAGCATGAAGAGTTAAAGAGGTTCTGCCAGACGTAAATCACACCATGCTCCCTCTCTCAGGAAAGTCTCAGTGGAGCCAGGGTTGGTAACAAGGTGGATTTTCATTCTGGCACAAGCACCTTGTATCCCCGTGACTGGTAGCAAGCAGTGTGGGGCCTGGAGCCCCACGTCGAGGTGCACTTACTGGATGTGGCCGTCAGGGAGGCGGGTCCGTGCTGCCCTCAGAGAGGGTGAAGGGCAGGGCAGGCATCTGCTGCAGCAGCAGGCGCTGATTCCCAGCTGGCAGCTGCTCCTACTGGCCACTGGGCCTGTCTTTCAGGTATAGCGAGGAGCGAGGCTGGGAGCTGCTCTGGCTGTGCACAGGCCTCTTCCCGCCCAGCAACATCCTCCTGCCCCACGTGCAGCGCTTCCTGCAGTCCCGCAAGCACTGCCCACTTGCCGTGGACTGCCTTCAGCGACTCCAGAAAGCCCTGAGGTACAGCGGCTGCCGGGGGCAGGGGTGGGCACTCCCGTGGGCTCCCAGCCACACTAAGCTGTGGGACAAGCTTGTTGGGGATGAGGACATGGTGGGGCCCATCCCTGGGGAGCCTCATTGCTCGGAAGCACGTAGCTCATACCTTCAAGTCTGTCCAGGAGCCACAAACACCCGAGTTGTGAAGTCTGCTCACTTCCTTGGATTCATTCAGTCTCCTACACAGCCCTTGGTGTTGGCACCATTAGCATCCCCTGTTACAGCCCAGGTGGTGGGGCTCGTCACGGGCTTGGAAATGCTGGACGGGGATCAGATCCAGTGTTTGCCTCCAAAGTCTCCGCTATTCCTTGGTCCCCACAAACTCACCCACTCCTGACCCTGTCCCCATCCTTATTTTCAGAAACGGGTCCCGGAAGTACCCTCCGCACCTGGTAGAGGTGGAGGCCATTCAGCACAAAACCACGCAGATCTTCCACAAGGTTTACTTTCCTGATGACACCGACGAAGTGAGAGTCACTGGGTTCTCAGTCTGCAGACACCTCACCAGGCCGGGCCTCCTGGCTTGCCACCGCCTGAAGCCTGTGCACTTGCTGCCTTGTCCTCCTGCCCTTCAGAACGGTCAGGGTGTAGTCAGAAGACCACAGCTTCCCTGCTTCCCAGAGCTCTCCTTGGAAGGGTGTGCTGCCTGCCCTCTCCTGCCGCCTGGGAGGAGGCTCTGCTTTGGAGAAAATTGTTCTTTTCCTGCTGAGAAAGGATCCATAGTGGGGCCTCCTTCCCTGCCTTGTCCTGGGTGTAGGAGCCCAGGGCCTCCTAGCTCCAGGCCTCCCCTGTTGTCCTGAACCCTGGCTCCATCCTCAGTGCATACCTGGTGTGATCGGGGTCCCCTCCACACTTGTGCTTCCCTCCACACATCCTGTTTGTCTGTCACATCCATTCAGGCTGCCTCATGATCCCCATCTCATCTTAGCACACTGTCTCACTCAGTTGAACTTGAGTCCAACATCTAAACTTGCGTGTGACTAACATCAGGATGCCACAATAGGATTCAGGTTGCAAGGACAGAGAACTTGCTACAATCTGTTCCCTCCAGTAGAAGCCATCCCCACAGCTCTTTCCTGCACCTAAACCCCAGACCCTCAAATCCTCGCTCTGGTCTGGGCTGCTTTCCCCCTTACACCTGTCTCCTTCCCTACACCCGTCCCTGCTGTGAGCCCTTGGCCTCATGCTGCACAGCTAGACCCAGGATCCTGGAAGCCAGGGCCAAGTCCTGCTTGGTGGGGCAGGGTGTCTGAGATTTGGGAAGACCCTGAGAGGAGCTGCTTTCCCCAGTTTTATGAAGGCTGTGTTGGGCTCTGGACCCCCAGGGAAGACACCTCAAAGGAAGGGTGTCTTACAGGGGAGAGGGGCATGGGAGGAGTACAGAAGCCAAGTGAGCACCACCGCCCCCTCCCCCAGGCCTTTGAGGTGGAGTCCAGCACCAAGGCCAAAGATTTCTGCCAGAACATTGCCAGCCGGCTGCTCCTCAAGTCCTCCGAGGGATTCAGCCTCTTTGTCAAAATCGCAGACAAGGTGGGTCTGCCTGACTGCTCTGGCCCATGTGTGGGGAGATCTGCTGGAGCTATAGGAACTTCTGGGGGAGAGGGGGAGAGGGGAGGGGGGAGACGGTCATGCCTGGCATGGGACAGCCTTCACACATCCCTGTAGCCTGCCTGTGCATGGAACAGCGGCCCCTAAATCTCTCTCCTCTGAGGCATTACACATGACCTCAGATCATCTGGGGAGCCATGTGCCCATTCTAGGATTCTGGGCATGCCATATGTCCCCCTGCCTTGCTGCACACAAGTACTTTCCAGCTGTGCTTTGGTCCCTCAGCTGCCACGCTGCCATCAATTCACCCTGAAATAACCCTTGCAGGGGACCCTGACTGTCCTCACCTAATAGATCACAGGAGGGGCTGAGAAGTAGTGTAACATATCCCAGGTTGCCCAGCAGGTGGCACCCTCCCACATAAGTGCCCCCACCATGGACATCTTAAAGGCACGGAATTAAAGCCCCTCCCAGGAAGGCTTCCTTGCCCTGTGGGACAGAATTAGGAGCTCCCTCTTACTGAGCACTGATAATCCCTTGGATGTCCACACTTGTTTCCACACTTCATGCCTGTCCCTGTGCCAGACATAGGGACCCAGAGGCAACCTTCATGAGGTCCTAGACTCAGGGGAGCGCAGAGCCCATGGGAGGAGTGGCAGGGACTCTAAAGAATGTCCGAGGCAGGCTCTGAGCCTCATTCCTGGCTGCTTTCCCTAGGCCTCAGGAGGACCTTGGTGTCCTAGGTGCTGAGTGAAAGGACTGCTGATCTGGGCAGGAAGGTGGCTTCTGACAACGCACAGCAGGCACTGTCAGGGCGGGTGGGGCCGATCACACTTCTGACCAGGAGTAGACTCTTTCCAGAGCAGGGGCCACCAGCAATGCCCTGGAGGGGGGAGTCAGAATACTTAGAACTGCCTGAGTATGCTCTAATGACCTCGTCTCTAGGTCATCAGTGTCCCTGAGAATGACTTCTTCTTCGATTTTGTTCGACATCTGACAGACTGGATAAAGAAAGCACGTCCCATCAAGGATGGTAATGAGGCCCGGGCCTGAGACCACCTGAGGCCCAGACCAGGGCAGGTGCCATGGTGCAAGGCCTACCTGGGTGGGGTTCAAACAAGGGCATCCTCTGTGCTGGGACTTTCTGGGTGACAGTCAGCTCTGTGCCACAGGAATCGTGCCATCACTCACCTACCAGGTGTTCTTCATGAAGAAACTGTGGACCACGACAGTGCCAGGGAAGGATCCTATGGCAGATTCCATCTTCCACTATTACCAGGTGAGCCACCGAGGCCTCTCTGCTCCTGTCTTCTCCATACACCACCAGCCCTGCAATACTCCGAATGTTGAGGGGCCTGTAAAAGTCAAGGCTGTAAGGGATTACTTCTGGACCACTGGGGCCCAGGGACTGGCCCAACCACCAATCATTCTGTCTCTTAACCCCTCAGCTCTTCCTCTGAGCTCCTAATCTCTACCTGTACAGGGGCCTCCCTCAGTGCCCAGCTGTCCTCTGAATTTGAGATTCTGCTGCTATAAGTGCGTATACTCAAGACCTCTGTGCCATTCTGTAAACGCCTGCTAGCACAGGCATGCACCCACAGGAAGCCAGCACAGAAGCCTACCTATTGAACTTGAACTAAGACAAGTGTCTACCATGTGTGTGTCTACCAGGCCCTGAGAAGTAGCACATTGTTCCTGTTACAAAGAAACTGAGACTCAGAGTGGTCAGATGACGTGATTAGACTCAAAGAGCTGGGGGACCTTGGGTTTGGCTCTAGTCTTTGTGGCTGCAGATCAGGGCTCTTGTCTGCACTGTAGCCTATTTACATGCTGGGCAGGGTGGAGGGGGCGTGGATAGTGGCTGCTGTGGCACCTGCCTCCCCACCCCCACCCCAAGATGGCCCAGTGAGTGAATGGCACCTGACCCAACAGCTTCCCCAAGGTGGACTTCCTCAGCTCCTGTGTCCTGGACTGCACCGTTATTTTCCCTCTGGAGTATCTGGAAATCCAGCATCATCCCCACCAGCTGGGTCAGTCTACCATCGTCTCCTCTGGATGAAGGCAGTGGCCTTCTCCCCAGCTTCTCCCAGCTATTTTTGTCCCCTTTCAGTCTCCTCTCCACAGCGTATTCATCCTGCTTCCTGAGCCTAGCAGGAGCTTCCTATGGCTCTTGGGGTCCAACTGCGAATCCTGACTGTGGCCCTGCATGGGGGTGCCTATACTTACATCTGCTGCCTTGTCTTGCACCCGGTACCCCATGTTCAGTTCATTAGAGCTACATTCTTTTTTTCAGATTCTCAGGTGTGCCATACAGCCTTTGTAATGTTCTGTCTGGGGTGTTGTTCCCACAGCACTGATTTTTTAGAATCAATTCAACCTTCTTTACCTTAAAGGAACTTATCCCTGTCCCAAGACTAGAGCATAGATCAGGTCGCACTGTTACATGCTCTCACAGCACCGTGAACAATTCCATTAAAGACTAACTATACCTCAGTTATTAATGATTATTAATGTCTGTTCTTGCATCAAGACTATACATCCCATTAAAGTAGAAAGGGTATGTGTTGTTGCTTGAAGGCCTGGCTCATAACAGATACTCAGAAAATGTCGTTGGATTGATGGGAGGATGAATACTGAGTGAATTTACTGGTGGATATTGTTAGGTAGTGATTAGACTGATGATAAGGAGACGTGTGTGAGTGGATAGACTCATAGGTGGATAGGGTATGGGTGAGTAGATGGAAAAGTTGATGGATTGTGACTGACTCAGCTCTCCGCTGGGCAGTGTGTCCTTAGGTCAGCCTCTGTTTCCCTACCCTTGAAATTGTAGACAAGATGATCCAAAGGCTCCAGGAGCCTCTGGGCAGCGCTGGTGCTTCAGAGCCTTTATCTTTGGTCTATCTCACATCCTCATTGCTCTGGTTCTGGGCCTGCAAGTTCAATGGAGTGGGAACGCTGGGCTGAACACACTAACAGGCCATGCTGAGGGATTCTTCCAAGAGAGGACAGACACAGGGGGCGGGGAGGTATGGAGCATTCTCAAGTTCACCAGCTGGTCACTCTGAATTTCTGCTTAAATGGCGCTGCTTACCTCACTGTACTCTTATGAGGTAGAGGAGACAATATTCAGACATGGCTATGCTTTCAAACTGTACCGTGCGGAATCTGCAGGCACACTTGCTATTTCCTTGTCCTGTGCCACCTCCTTTGGGTGAGCAGTGTCAGCTGAGGCTGCAGAAGTGGTGGGCCCAAGTGCAGGGGTAAGACAGCAGCTCCCAACTTTGGGGTGGTGGGGAATGAGCCTGCTTCCTCCAGCTCCTTCTACACCTGTGACCTGCTACATCTCTGGCAGGAGTTGCCCAAGTATCTCCGAGGCTACCATAAGTGCACGCGAGAGGAGGTGCTTCAGTTGGGGGCGCTGATCTACAGGGTCAAGTTTGAGGAGGACAAGTCCTACTTTCCCAGTATCCCCAAGCTGCTGCGGGAGCTGGTGCCCCAAGACCTCATCCGGCAGATCTCACCTGACGACTGGAAACGGGTGAGCAGGCTCTGTGCACTCCAGGGGTTGGGGTAACAGGTGCTGGCCAGCAGCGCAGGGAAGTACCCTCTGTGGCTAATGTATGTGATGAAACCTCCCTCTGCCTGATTTATTCTCCAGTCCTCCCTGGATTCAGTTGGACACTTGGCAGTGATTTGCCCTGTCCTGCTACCATGGTGGCCTGATTTCCTTTCTGCCTGTGAGAGGGAAGGGAGATCCGAAGTTCATCAGCTGGGATGAGGGAGGAGACTCGCTGCCCATGTTCTGGGCCTGGCTCTGACAGTGCAGATGGGCAAAGTGATGGAGGGAGAGGACTCTAAATGGCATGCCTGACCCACTTCCTCCTGCAGTCCATTGTCGCCTACTTCAACAAGCATGCAGGGAAGTCCAAGGAGGAGGCCAAGCTGGCCTTCCTGAAGGTCATCTTCAAGTGGCCCACCTTTGGCTCAGCCTTCTTTGAAGTAAAGGTATGCTTGCGGGGATGGTGGGGGTCCTCAGAGGAGGAGGAGGATGATGAGGGGCAAGAGATGGCACAGAGACTTCTCCCCAGGCTGAGGAAAACCATTATGGCCTTGGGCACCTACCATAGCCAGGAAAGGAGAGAAGCCCGCTTAGCCTTGTCTCGGCTAAGGACTCATCCCTGGAGACAGAGGAACCAAAGGCTCAGTGAAGCAGGGGAGGCAGAGTGGAATGCCCTGGGAAACGAAGAACAGCTTGTGATGTGACAATGAAGAGGCTTCAGGAATCTGGCAGAGGCCTGGCCTAGATTGAAGAGCTGGAGGGCTTCCTGGAGGTGACATATGAGCTTTCCAGGGAGACCCTACCCCTGGAAGCAAGACTGGGTGAGGGGTCAGATTAGGATGGGTGAATAGATAATGACTCATTCAGGTCTCTGATGGGAAGTGTGTCCTTAGGACGGGCCTCCATTTCCCTGCTCATCGAATAGTAGACGAGATGACCCAATGGTTCCAGGGGCCTGTGGGCAGCCCTGGTGCTAGAGAGGCTTCATCTCCTGCTTTGGTCCACCTCGTGTCCTCACTGCTCTGGTTCTGGGCCTCTGGGTTGAAGACACTGAGAAGAGGACATAAGGAGGGGGTCCAAGAGAGCACAGATCCAGCAGGGGACGGTAAGGAAGAGGCTCAAGTTCAGCTTCAGGGGATGAGTGTACAAGAAGCCTTTGAGGAGTTTGCCTATGGAAGGGAGAGAGGGGTAGGTGGGTATCTGGAAGCAGGTGTAGGGTTTTTAGATGATGGGAGACATAAGGGCTGAGAGAAAGGACATAGCAGACTCCCAGAGAAGTAGGAGGAAGCGATGGAGCTGCAGCTGGGGACCCATGAGAGGAGGTGTGGTAGCTCGGAGGGCCCAGCAGAGGTGGCAGCCATGAGACATGGAGGGGCCGTCAGTATCTCTGCACTCTGAGCACCACCTAGGCAGCAGGAGAGGCTGACTTTATCCCTGCCGGGAGGGGCTTCATCCCACTCCCCAGATGCTTCCCTTGCTCTGGCCCACCCATCTGACGATTTCCCATCTACCTTTGCCAGCAAACTACAGAGCCAAATTTCCCTGAGATCCTCTTGATCGCCATCAACAAGTATGGGGTCAGCCTCATTGATCCCAGGACCAAGGTGAGCAGGGACAAGAAAGTGGGTGGGGGCTCCTCTGTCTGCACAATCAGGGTCCCAGACCCAAGCCCCGTAAGCCCTGACAGCCTCCTCCCCACATCTCTAAACAGTTTTGTTTGCTGGAGACTCCCTTGCTTCTCATTTGCATCTTCAAAATTGCTCCCCCAGAGTTACTAACAAACTTCTTGCTACCACAATCCATGGACTCCTCTTAGTACTTGGCCTTCCAGCACCAGTGGACACTACCATACTCCCTCCCCTTCTTGGTCAGGGAAACTGACTGTGCTAGGGTACCTGCATGTCACTGCTGCTCACGTCACGGGCCACAGCAGTCCTGACCCAAGGGCCAGGAGGGAGGGTCCTGCCTCATCCTCAGAGGGGTCCACCGAGACAGCTGAAGAGCACTCACGCCCACCGTCTTCCCCTTGGCTTCGTGGGCCACAAATCCCTGTTTGCCTCCCCTTCTCAGACACCTTTGCGGGTTTCTTCGCTACCCAGCCCATGCATATGATGCTCCCCAAGTCCTGTCCTGCTTTCTTCTTGTCTGCTTCTTTAACTCTCCCTGGACCATCTCACCACAGGCCTGCAGTAGGAGTTCCCTCAGGCCTCCCAAATTTCCAGTTTCAGCCCCACGGACCCAACAACCTGCTGGACTGCCCTCACCCACTGGCCCCAACCAACACCTGCAGGGAAGGCGCCTGTCCCCACAGCAGCTCCAGGCAGAGCAGGCCTCTGCCTCTTGCTTGGATTCTCACGGGAGGGCCTCAGGCCTTCCGGAAGTGGAGTTGCTGTTGGAGCTGGGGGGAACAAGGCCCCTGGGGCCAGGCTCTACACCTTCTTGCCCATTCTACTCCCCTAGGACATCCTGACCACACACCCATTCACCAAAATCTCCAACTGGAGCAGTGGCAATACTTACTTCCACATCACCATTGGGAACCTGGTGCGCGGGAGCAAACTACTCTGTGAGACGTCACTGGTGCGTGCTTCCTTCTGAGCCTGGAGGGGGTGGCTCTGCCTTGCCTGCAGCTTTGGGGGAACAAGCATAGCTGTGCCAGCTTGGCCTGGGGGCAGAGTCAAAGATCAGCCAGGATCAAGGTCAGGTCTGTGTGAGGTTCAGCTTAGGTCTGGGGCTTAATCTGAGCTGAGGAACAGTTCTCTCATCCAGCAAGCATGAAGCACCTTCAGCATGTGGGATCGAGCCTGTGGTGGTAGCCCTTCCCCAAGTTCAACAGCAGAACCCTGGCAATGAGCCCTCCGGGGCTGAGCTCAAACTTCCAAGGTGTAGCTCAACTGGTAGCCTTTAGAGTTATTCCTGCTGGGAAGGACCCAGGATGTGAGAGACCCACAGATAGGGGTTTCAGGTGGGGGGGCAGGGTCTGCCTCGGCTTGGGTTCCTGTGTGCGCTTCGGGACCTGTATCTGCTGTGAGGGGCTAGCCTTGTCCCTTTGTGCTCTGCTTATATTCCCCCTGCTTCCAGGGCTACAAGATGGATGACCTCCTGACTTCCTACATCAGCCAGATGCTCACAGCCATGAGCAAACAGCGGGGCTCCAGGAGCAGCAAGTGAACAGCGGAGAGGAGCTACTGGCTCCCTGGGGAGCAGCTGGCTGAGGCCCATGGCTACTCCTGCAGCCGAGGGAGACCCTGTAATACAGATGGGGAGGCAGGCCAGGCAGCCACACTGACACACTTCTCCAGGGAGGGAGTCTCCTCCCACCGCTGCGGTACCTGGGTGAACTCGAGTCCCAGCTTGCTGTGTGGCCTTCCCAGCTGTAAGAGCCAGCGCTCCTGGATGCTGCTTTTTTGTCTCAGACCAATGCTACCATGCAACCCCCTTCTGACTTTCTGCATCCTGTTGGCACAGAGAAATTGGGAGGAGAGCCTAGCTTTCTGTAATGGGAAGCACCCAACCAAACAGGCACTGAACAGAAACCTGAGACCAGGACTCTCAGCTGGGTGAGGGAGACAATCTACTTTTATACACTGTAGTGGGATGCTGGGCCCGACCTTGACTCTCTGATCACCTCAGGGCATAAAGCATGTGTTTCATCCTCTGGCCCTACCGTGTCTTTTCTGGCAGAGGGGACAAAAGGGGGTGTGGTTCAGGACGGTGCCCTGTCGCAGGGTGTCCTCTCTAACTGCCTTCTCAGTCTGTCCCTGCTTGGCCAAGCAGGTCTGAGTTTGAGGGTTGGGGTGATCGAGCCCAAGGTATACCTGAAGCTGTCTTAAAGGGACCATCTGGGAGCAGAGCAGGTTAGGGGCAAATGCTGGTCATTGGGCTGGGAGAGGGAGAAATCAGTTTCTGGGCCTTACCTGGGGCCAGTGGAGCCAGAGCAGCTCTTCCATCCTGTTAGAAACTTCTCCCCGGCTCCTCTAGACATGTTCAAGACCACTGCCGTCTTGGGTTAAATCCCTGTACCTGGTGGGTGTCTGTAAAATGTTTCTTGTGACCAAGGTGGGACAACTGCTGTCTGGGGTACGGGCTTCTGACAGGGCAGCTGTGATCTGGGGTGAGGCACCTTCCCGGCTGTGCTGCACTGAGTGCCCAGAGAAGTGACAGTGGAGAAGTCTCTTGAGGGAGCTGTTTTCTGACACTGCAGTAACAGTGTCCAGGGCCTGTCTGCCTTCACACAATCACGTCTGTGTCATTCCCACCCACCTGCTCTTCCTTATCTCCCCACTGCCAGTGTAGCAGAGGGAGGGGCTGGTATGTGCAAATGAAACCTCACTTTCTGCAATGATAATGTGGCCTCTGAGGCACCCACCTGTCCCACCAGTGTTTTGAAGGCTCCATTTAAGCCCAGACCAAATCGAGTCAGAAGGAAGGTGGTCTGCCCCTATACCAGCTTTATACAGATGGGGGTACTCAGACCCAGAGAACACTGTAAATGGGTGAAGATCACACAGTGGAACTCACCTCACTGCTCTGAACTTTGGGTTTCCCTACAGACCAAAGGCTATTAGGTCAATCCAGGATTGTGCCCATCATTCCAATGGGGAGTCGGTAAACCAGAAGGTATGAGGACGCATCCCACTGCACAGTAGATCAGGAAAGAGGTGTGGAAGGAGACCTTTGCCCCTGACTCATGCCCATACCACCTCTTATCCTCTGACTTAGGAGTGATCACAGCGGGCAGGAGATACCAGGGAAGGTAGGATCAGACAAACTCTGACCCCTGGAAAGCAACCAGCTCCAGGTGCAGGACCACACAGAATACTGTTCCCATTTCTAATCCCCTTGAGATACATTCTTAGAGAAAGGCTGGGTCAAGTGATCTCTCGAGAGCCTCATGGCCCTTCTGCATGCCTTTTTTTTCCTTAAAGATTTTATTTTTTTGAGAGGAAGAGAGGTCTTCCATCATTGGTTCATTCCCCAAATGGCTGCAATGGCTGGAGCTGGGCTGATCTGAAGCCAGGAGTTTCTTCTGGATCTCCCACGTGGGTGCAGGGGCCCAGGGACTTGGCCATCTTCTACTGCTTTCCCAGGCATTGCAGAGAGCTCGATCAGAAGTGGAGCAGCCAGGACTCCAACTGGTACCCACATGGGATGCTGGCACTACAGGCAGCGGCTTTACCTGCTACACCACAGCACCAGCCCCTGCATGCCTTTCTTGGCCACCCCCCAGCGTCACTACACTTGGCCACAGAGAGAGGAAGAAGGGGACCAGCTGTGGTTAAATTTTCTCTAAAGTCATCCTGTAGGAGAAAGAGAACACGCTAAAGGAGGCATCCTGAGAAGATGATTCAGCCATGGCGTCCTAAGGACTTTGAAGTAAAGTGGGTCAGTGTGGTTCCATGAGGGTTCTAGTTGGTGACTCCCATGGGCAGGAAATTTGGTGGTTTGAAATTCTCCTTGGGAAACACCAGTAGCACACTGTCTCTCTTGGTGGACACTGGTGGTTTCCGAACCCGCTTAGGGGACACTGATGCTTTGATGTCCTTCTTGGCAAGCCTTCACATAATGATGTGCTCCTTGGGGGCAGGGGTGGTCTGACCTCCCTCTTGGGGAACACTGGGGATTTGATGTTTTTCTCAACAAGCCCTGTTAGAATAATGTTCCCTTTGGGGAAGTCTTCGAGGTTTGTGGATCTCCTCTTTGTGTACTGCTGTGATACGGAGGTAGTTTGGGTATCTGAGGGTTCTTCTGATTCAAGATGGCTAGAAGATGCCCTCAGTCCAAGAGTTTTCTGTGATTCTATTTTAGAAGCTGTTTCCTGAATATCTGTATTAAAACTCCTCAAGTGTCACTTCTCCAAGTTTTGTTGGCTTTGTGATGAACTCAATCATTTCTTAAATGTTAGAACCTCTGAAGCTCATTATTCTAAGTTTGCACTCCTAAGATCTTATGAAAACTTACAGATGATCCTCCAGTTTTGCCTTGGGCAGTGAAGTCCATTGTGTTTATGCAAAGGTTCTGGTTCATATCCTGCTGCTCCACTTCTGATCCAGCTCTCTACTAAAGGCCCAAGAAAAGCAGTGAAAGATGGCGTGTTTGGGCTCCTGCCACACATGTGGTAGACCCAGAAGAAGCTCCTGGCTTTGGCCTGGCCCAGCCCCAGCTGTTGCAGCCATCTGGGGAGTGAAACAGTGGATGGAAGATTTCTCTCCCTCTCTCTGTAACTCTTTCAAATAAATAAATAAATCTTTTTTTTTAATAAAGGGATTAGGAGGCTCTCTTCAACTTTTTATAAAAGCATTCAATACATCCTTGAGGATGGAGTGCTCATGACTTAGTCACTCCCTAAAGGCCCCCAACTCATAATACTTTCACACACTGGGTATTAGATTCCAGCATGCAAGGGGTCTTTCAAAAATGTGTATTACAAGAAAAACTATGCAAGGATTTAAAAACTCTTTTGTAGCACAATAGGCCAGCACTGTGGCTCAGTGGGCTAATCCTCCGCCTTGTGGCGCCGGCACACCGGGTTCTAGTCCCGGTCGGGGCACCGGATTCTCTCCCGGTTGCCCCTCTTCCAGGCCAGCTCTCTGCTGTGGCCCGGTAGTGTAGTGGAGGATGGCCCAAGTCCTTGGGCCCTGCACCCACATGGGAGACCAGGAGAGGCACCTGGCTCCTGCCTTCAGCTCAGCGCGGTGCACCGGCCGCAGCGCGCCGGCCGCGGTGGCCACTGGGGGGTGAACCAATGGCAAAGGAAGACCTTTCTCTCTGTCTCTCCCTCTCACTGTCCACTCTGCCTGTCAAAAAAAAAAAAAAAAACACTTTTGTAGCACAATAAACTTAATTCCATTTTTCCATGAACTTTTTGAAGTACCTTCATATGAAATTTCGAGGAACACATACATTCAAATCATGGTAACAGCTTATCACAATCTGGGATGTCATAAAAATAGTAGTTGGGAGAAATTAGAAAAGTCTGAAATAGATGACTTCAACTTCCACTTTAAAAATATGGAAAAAGAACATTAAATTAAACTCAAAGTAAGCTAAAGAAAGGAAATAATTATCATTGTGGAAGTCAAACAGAAAACAACAGAACAGAGATCTTTTCAATAAAACTGAGTAACCTCTAGCCAGACTGATAAGGCATAAACTACTAATATCTGAAATGGGAGAGACATATTAAAAGAACAAGAGATAGTATGTCGGGGGCCCATGTTGTGCATAGCGGGTAAAGCTGCTGCCTGTGACACTAGCATCCCATAGGGTGCCAGTTTGTGTCCTGGCCGCTCCACTTCTGATCCAGCTTCCTGCTAATGGCCTGAGAAAAGCAGCAGAAGATGGCCCAAGTGCTGTCCATGTGGGAGACTCTGAAGAAGCTCCTGGCTCTTGGCTTTAGCCTGGCCCAACCGTGGCCATTGTGGTCATCTGGGGAGTGAACCAACATATGGAAGACCTTTATGTCTCTCCCTCATTTTCTTTAGCTCTAACTTTTAAATAAATAAATCTTTTAAAAAAGAGATTGTGCTAATAAATTTGAGCATTTAGAAGAGATGAATAAATTCATTGAAAGACACTATCAATGTTGACCAAAAAGAATCTGAAAAGCTCTATTAGGCATTAAAGAACTTTCAAAGAAAATGCCACATCTTCATTAGTGAATTCTAAACATTTAAGAAATTAAAACATACAAATTCCACATAAAATCTTCCAGAAATTTGAAAAGACAATACTTCCCAACTTATTCAATGAAGTCAGCACTGCCTTAATACCAAAACCAAAGAAATTACAAGAAAACTCCAGAACAATGTTTCACAAAAATAGATATAAACCCTCAATAAAATTTTAGCTAATAATCTCCAACAATATGTAAGAAAGAAACTGCATCATGACCAACTAGGTCTATGCCAGGAATACAAAGCCATTTCAACATTTGAAAATCAATGCGATTCGTTTAAAAAAAAATACTAGCTAAATAGTACAGTCCATCTGATCTCAGGAGATGCAGAAAAGCATTTGGCAAAATCCAGAAACTGGTACTCATAAAAATTCTCAGCAAATTAGGAACATAAGGAAGTTTTTTCAGTTTGATAAAGCCATATCTGGAAAACCTTCAGCTAACATCTGTTAAATGCTTTCCCCATTAGATCATTAAGAAAGCAAGGATACTTCTTTTTAACACTTAAATTCAATGCACTTGAATTCTAGCCAATGTAATGTGGCAAGAAAAAAATCAAGAACATTCAGACAGAATAGGAAGAAGTGAAACTATCCTTAATCACAAATGGAATGATCATCTATGTAGAAAATCAGAACTGACAATAATAGTGGGTAGAACTAATAGATGAATTTAGCAAAGTTACAGAATACAAGAGCAATATATAAAAATCAACTGAATTTCTATGTGCTTGCAATGACCACTGGAAATTGAAATTTTAAAATACTATTTATAATAGTAGAAAATCTAAGGGGTAAACCTGATAGGCATATATGCTAGAAAGCACGAAATCTTGCTAAGAACTGAGGAAAAGCCTAAGTAAATGAAGAGTCTAACTGTCTTCCATGGTTGTGGGTTCTGCACCTGCAGATTTAACCAACTGTAGACTGAACATATATTTTAAAAATTGCATCTATAGTGAACATGTACTGAACTCCACAGAT